AATCTCCTCCGGCGGCTGGAGAGCCTCCACGGTCTTCGCCCCATCCTCATCTGCGGCGAAGGCTTTCTCGATCGTTATGGCCGACGATTCCGCCGGCTTGGCATCCTCGGGCGCCGGTTTCTCTTCCTTCTTAGTCTCGATGGTCACCTGAGCGGCCGATTTCTCCGCCGGCTTGGTCTCCACCGGAGCCGCCGGTTTCTCCGCCGGCTTAGTCTCGGTGGTCACCTGAGCCGCCGGTTTCTCCACCGGCGCCGGAGTCGCCGTTTTCTCTTCCTTCTTAGTCTCGGTGATCACCTGAGCCACCGGTTTCTCCTCCTTCTTGGTCTCGGTGGCCGCTGGAGATGCCGGTTTATCCTTCTTTGTCTCAGCCGGCGCTGGATCCGCCGGTTTCTCATCCTTCGTCTCGGTGATCGCTGGAGCTACAGGTTTCTCCGCCGGCTTGGTCTCCACCGGCGCCGGTGTTTCCGATTTGTCGGCCTTCTTCGCCTCGGCGATCGCTGGAACAGCCGGTTTCTCCTCGGGCTTGGTGCCAGTCACCGCCGATGTTTCTTCCTTCTTTTCTTTCTTCTCTTCTATCACTTCCATCTTTTCTTCTTCTTTGGTCTCTTCCTCTGTTTTCTTCTCCTCAACTTTGTCTTCCTCCTTCACCGGAGCCGGCGGTGGAGTAGTGAATTCCCGCTTGTTGAGAGCCTCCCTTACAAGCTCCTTGAATTCCTCAAGCGCCTTCCTCTGAGATTCCGGGAGCTCCGACGCCACGTAGCTCTCCTCCTTGAATGAATCCGACTGAACGATTCGCTTCTCCGCTTCCCCCGCAGCGATTCCTTCCTCCTCAGGTTTCTCAGATTCCTCCACCGGCGCCTCCTTCTCCTGTGCAGACTCTGGAGCCGGCACTGCCACCTCCTTCTCCGCGACCGGAGCAGGCGCCGGAACCTCCTGGGTCACCGGAGCTTCTTCCTTCAGCGGCACCGGCTTTGGAGGCGGTGTCGGAGATGGGCCAGGACCGCCCTGCTCGACGGACGCGGCTGTGACTGCAGGTTTCTGGGTCTCCTCCTGAGCCATGTAGGATGCGTGGACGATCAGAGAGAGGAGGGGGGGGGAGAGGGAATGATGAGAGAGAGGCGAGGGGGGGGGAGAGCTTATAAAAGGGAAGGAAGAGAAAATGGAGGAGATGTAGAAAAGAGCTGTTAGAGACAGCTCATTCCACTCCCTGAGAGTTGGGTCCCTCTCTCTCTCTCTCCGCCGTCTTTTCTCTTCTTGAACCCATCACCAAATGAACAGTTTGATTCTTTATTTTAATCCTATAACCTTCCTTATTTTCCTCCAAATATATATATTCAAATCTTTACATTTAAATATCTAGTGGAAATAAAAGATACAAATCCTTTCTTTAAATATATTTAATTAAAACATATTGTATATAGAAATCTTTACACTTAAATATCAATTGGAAATCAAAGATACAAATCGTAACGTTAAATATATTTAATTAAAACGTATTCATAAAAGTAAAAGTATGTACTACCTTTTCCCCCAAGCCAAAAAAAATTAATGCTATCTTGATTAAAATGACGGTCTATTTTCCCTATATAATTCCTCTTTTAGATTCATACTCGATAAATATGGGATTGAAAACACTGGAATCTTGTACGAGACATTCTAACAAGATATATAACCAAGTTTGGTATTTTTATATAGAAATTAAAAAAATACGTAGTCGTTGATTTTGGATCTCATCAACCCTTTCAATCTGTTTTTCAGACGGTTAAAAATAATCACTTATACCTCGGTTAACTTACATATAGATTTTAAAAGGTTAGGAGTTTATTTTTCAATTTCTTTCTATGTAAATATTTTCGTTTAAACAATTTATAATCTAATCAAATAAATTAATAAATATATTTAATATCTAACCTGATATATTTATAATGTAATCTTAAAATCATTATAGATAAAAAATACAACTCTTCAAAAGAAATACGATGCATAAAAGAAAAAATATTTAAAACTAAATATTATTCTCGAATCAAATACAGACAAATAATAAATTATAATTAATCAATTCAATTCAAGTGTAAATAAATACCATATTAAAATCTAAAGTACCATCTTAATATTTGACATCATTTTCATCCTCAATTATGCAACCATAGACTGGTTTGGATTGGTTTAGATGAGATCACCGCAGATATCAAATGGGTTAACTTTAAACATGAAGCAATTCGACCCAAATCAAACCAAATTTAAGAGGCAAAACCAACTCGGTTCCTTTGAGACCATGTTAGAACAATATGGATACAAGGAATAAAGGATGACGTTAATTAATTTCTCTACATGTATCCAACATTATCCAATTTTAAATAGACTTTTTTTTATCAGTTTATTCAAGTTGAATATTTATACAATATATATATATATATATAGCGAATTACATGTAGAATTATTGCTTTGCTTAGTTTTATGAAAACGAAATTGCGAGATCTTGTACTTATTCTTAAAACGCAATCACAGATTACATGGCAACGACTAATTGGGACAAACAAAACATGGCGACTTGTTTGCTATATACGCCCTCGCATTGACTCTTTCAAATACGTGCGTATACATATAATAAACATCGCAGTGTACGTATTTGATCGTGATAGTTTTTGTTTTTTTGGCACGTCCACATGATGTTTGCAAGCTTGTATATTTTAGATTACGACACTATTTATTATTGTCTAGCGACGATTAATTTAATATATTTTTACCATGTGTAGAACTCAAATTTCATGTATAATACTTGTTATTTTGCGCGAGTAATTTAGCATCCACACATGTATATATATACACACACATCATTTTATGTTTTTTAGAGAAAAGAAAACATAAATTTACAGCATTGAAAGATATTCATTTTGTATAATACAGTTGGCACATCCGACCCGACTATAACACCTTTGAAGACTGCTTTGCACGTAAAAAAAAAGTGCATGATATATCCGAAGAACCCTAATTGGCTATCGTTGTACAATTCTAGAAACTATGTATTCGTTGATATCGGAATAGATTGCGAAATCAAACAATAATAATAATAGGGATATTCCGATAGGTTAGAGCTGTCAATGTACGATTTAAAATATAGTTTAAAGAAGACTTTATAATAATAATAATTACAATGACAATGAGGATCGATTCATGTAGGACCATAGCATGGAACCTCAACGTTACAATTCCTTGTGAGTTGCCACGTGGTGGACTGCTAATTCACATAAAACATAAACCATGGGCGTGACCATATATTGCATTCAACAAATTAGTTTTTTTTTACACGAAGGAATGCGATGAATCCGTTTCTTATGTAACATAATCCTTCTAAAAAAAGTGATTTTTCCTTTGAAACCATTAGTTAATTGTTCCATAAAATAAATAATAAAAATTAAAAAGGTTCGTTAACAAATAAGTTGCTTTTGTCAAAAGCAAAGCAGGCGAAGGTGTTGGTTGGATCCACATCATCGCTGGTGCCGTCTTATAATGACACACATATATTCGATTTGCTACTTTCCCCCCTTTTTTATTATATGAAACGCGTTCCAATTTAATATCTGTCATAGCAAATGATTGATCGCCAGATTATACAAATAAACGAGGCATGCTTCTTCATATTGGTTAATTTGAACAGTTCCATTATTTTTAGTATATTTAATTAGAAATCTATACAAATACACTTGGCATATTCTAATACAATGCGTGTTCATGTTCCCATGATCTGTATAAACGGCTATCATTTTATTATGATCATAGAATGTTACATATGATAGTGAGAGGTTGATTTTTTCCAATTCCATGCTACATAAATGAGCATGATGACTTCACAATGTATTTGATGAGATGTGCTCAATTAAAAAATAAATAATTTTTAGTAGACTTAACCAGGACGCACACATTAAGAAACATCCTTAAAAAACATGCCTTCGTAGTGGCTAATTGGCAATGTTTAGATAAATGTACCGTTCTAGGGAATTCGGGACCAAAAGTCTTGTTGGTGGTACGAATAATATAATTACCTTCGAATCAATAAAAATGATTCCATCCTAGTGTTTGTTTATTTACAATATGGTGATCTCGTATTGAAACAAACCACTCGCCGTTTTCACATCATTTGATGAGACAACCTGCCGTTTTTCTATTGAGAACGGCACAAAGCTGAATATTCCTCGTAGGCTTCGTTCTCTCTCTCTCTCTCCAAGGAAAGAAAAGTCAGTAACATTATCTATTGCGGGATTTGGTAAAGTTGAAAAGTTGAGTACATAACTTCACATCAGGAAACTCTCACCCACCACTCGCATTTGTGAAAATCTAAGTTAATATCATTCCCCCGGTGTTGGATTTCAACATATAATTTAATTCATTCATCTTCATGGGATCGATTTCAAGCTTAAGGATAAGATTTGATTTTCAAAAACAAGAATAATCTCTCATCTTAATATATATATATATATATTACCAAGACTAGATTTTGCATGTCACAATCTTAAGATAAGTCACCGTAACGATGACATGCTATAGATTTGAATGAAAAATTAATCGGAAAATACCATTTGATAATCACATGTGGCGAAGATATGCTATAGCTTTAATTTTGTTTGGGTTTAGGGAATAATCTATCGAATCGATTTAGTAAACGAAGCCGGTTAAAAAAAGGAGGAAACCAAAAGGTAGTAGGGCATCCAAGGCAAATAGGAATACTACAAATGAGTCCACCAAATGGGACTGTCGGCCCAACTGTATGATAAAAGCCCAATTCATAAGTCCCGACAATCCGAGCGGTACATGTCCTGAAAAAAATAAACAGAGAAACTCCCATACCACACTTTTATTTAAAAGAATTGAATTTGGAAGATTTATCAATTATTTTTTGGAACATGTGCCATGTGGATATCAATTTTGTCTTCCCCATTGGCCTGGAATTCAGATATACACTTTTTTTTACCAGATAGAATAATAAAATCCGAAAATCTAAACAAACAAAACCGACATTAAGATCATGAATGTTGATAGTTTTATTTTGAGTTTTTGGTTTTAATTTTTAGTTTCTATAATATTTATAAATCTAAAAATAAAATAAAATTATTTCATTAAAATAGTTTTCCAAATTTACAAAATTTTGCTGATCGGTTTTTTTTGGTTTGTAAATTTTAAAAATTTCCAAAACATCTTCCAATCCAACCGGAAGGCTAATACTCCACTGGATTAGGAGTTGAGACGTTTGAAAAAACTTACCTTTTTACTGGTAAAGAGCACGTGAGTGATCCATTGATAAACCCTGGCCACAACTCTCGATCAGTAATATGGTCGGCGTAGTTGCAATAACTTTGATATTTTCCCTGGTAGCAGCCACCGGTAATGGCGATCTCCCGCGCTGACGATGAGGCCGGGATTCCTCTTCTTCCTGACACCGTCGACGGCTCCCTCGACTTCAGAGGCAAGCCCGCCGTCAGAATCTCCTCCGGCGGCTGGAGAGCCGCTGGATTCGTCATCGGTTAGTCCCTCCCCTCCAAGCTTGACCACATTTTTCCCGCTAATTTCGATATTCTTCTCATGATTGCTTTGTTTTTGTCGCCGGTAGGCGTGGAAGTGGCGGAGCGGTTCGCCTACTACGGGATATCGTCGAATCTGATCATGTACTTGACCGGGCCGTTGGGGCAGTCGACGGCGGCTGCGGCGGCCAACGTCAACGCCTGGTCCGGGACAGCGTCGCTGCTGCCGCTGCTTGGGGGGTTTGTCGCCGACTCGTTTCTAGGTCGTTTCCGCACAATCCTCGCCTCCTCTGCACTTTATATCTTGGTATTATCTTCTTGGTCTAATACTTACATCATTTTAGATTCATTATGGAATTCATGACTTCGATTTTGCAGTTGATACTTGCTGCATATCCTATATTGTTCGTAATTAGAAACCATGGACTTCCCCTGTCCTGTTCGACTCTAATCTTTGAATCCAAGTTCATTTTTTTAGTACATTTCAAAGCCTACAGAGCCTGCGAGTCGGAACTCGGTTTATGGTTTATTATCTGTCTCTGAATCTGTATTTTCTAGTGTGTTTTTTCCTGACACTTACTCGATCCGTTGAACTTATAGATTTGATGGGTTTATTTTGATTTGATGTACGGCAGGGACTTGGTTTACTGACTTTGTCTGCCATGATTCCTTCTGACTGCAAAGTTGCCAATCTGCTCTCCTCATGCTCCGCCCAATTCCAAGTAATTCTTTTCTTTGGTGCTCTATACCTGGTAGCTCTCGCCCAAGGCGGCCACAAGCCTTGTGTTCAGGCTTTTGGAGCTGATCAGTTTGACGGGCAGGACCCAGAAGAGTGCAAAGCCAAGAGTTCCTTCTTTAATTGGTGGTACTTTGGCATGTGTACTGGCACCTTGGTAACTCTCTGGGTCTTGAATTACATCCAAGACAACCTCAGCTGGGCCCTTGGCTTCGGAATTCCTTGTATAGCGATGGTAGTTGCTTTGATTATTTTCTTGCTTGGAACTAGGACATATCGCTTCTGTACTGGAGGTGAAGAGCGAAACCCTTTTGCAAGAATTGGCAAGGTTTTTTTAGCAGCTGCAAAGAATTGGCGGATGCCAGCTTCAGCTGTAGCTGATGCAGAAGAAACCCTTGGTCTCTTGCCTCACAAAAGTTCACAGCAGTTCAGGTAAGAGCTCCACTTTATCCTTCGAAGTTTTCCCATTTGAGACAAGCATCACAATACCATCGTGGTTCCTGCAACATTGCAGTTTCTTAAACAAGGCGATGGTCGCACCAATAGATTCGTGTACTATGGCAGAAGTTGAAGAAGCTAAAGCGGTTCTCAGGCTTGCTCCAATCTGGGTAACTTGCTTGGTATATGCTGTTGTCTTTGCACAGTCCCCGACGTTCTTCACTAAGCAAGGAGCCACCATGGACAGATCATTCCTACCAGGATTCAAGATCCCCGCGGCGACCCTCCAGTCCTTCATCAGCCTAGCCATAGTGATCTTCATCCCCATCTATGATCGCATACTCATCCCGGTGGCAAGATCAATGACCCATAAACCAGCCGGAATCACAATGCTTCAGAGCATAGGCACGGGTATATTCCTGTCCCTTGTTGCTATGGTTATAGCCGCATTAGTGGAGATGAAAAGGCTGAAAACCGCAGAGGATTATGGGCTTGTTGATTTGGCAAACGCCACAATCCCAATGAGCGTGTGGTGGCTGATTCCTCAGTACGTCCTCTTTGGTATCTCGGATGTGTTTGCAATGGTGGGTCTGCAAGAGTTCTTCTATGACCAAGTACCGAGCGAGCTCAGAAGCGTGGGGCTGTCTCTGTACCTTAGCATATTCGGCATCGGGAATTTTCTCAGCAGTTTCATGATCTCAGTCATCGAGAAAGCCACGAGCCAATCCGGGGGAGTGAGCTGGTTTGCAAACGATCTAAACAAGGGCCATCTCGATTACTTTTATTGGTTACTAGCAGGTCTCAGCTTCATCGGCTTGGCTTCGTATTCGTATTTCGCAAAGTCGTACATGTACAGCAGCCCAAACACTTCGTAAACCTCTCAGCTCTCTTCCAGAGTTCAGACGGCTGTAGTTATACATATTGTATGCAATGATATGAGAGTGATGGTGTTATTGGTTCAGTGGATTGCGTAGACCTATACGTATACAGATGTGTATATACGTATATGACTTGGTAATTGGTTCTCTCTTATTTTGCCCATCTCTTCTCGTCGAATGCGTGAGTGGTTTTGTAAGCTTTGTCTGATTTGGGCTTTGATTGGGCTTTCATAACCCCATTTTCAAGCATCTAAACCGGAGCCCATTGTTTGGCTATCATTCTCATATATTTTTTTTCCTCTTTCTGAATTTGGGATTTGATAATGGTTTGGTTTACCATATATTTCTCCAACCTCATTATACCATTTTTGTTTAAAACATTTACGTCTTATTTTCTATATATACATCAACGTGTTTTGTGGTTGAAAATATATTTGGATGGGGGATTAATATATTTGTTGTTTTTTTCCGCAGAAAACATCCATATAAGATTTTTTTCCAAGAAAGTCCCAGTTTATTGGATATTAATTTATGTTGTGGTCAGAGTTTACATATTTGATATGATTTGATTTTGGCTTGACAAATTAAGATTGTGATTTATTTATATAATAATTTTTTCACTTTGGTTGGGCCCACGGAAATCTCTTCCCATCCCATGGAGTTTGCTTCGACTACGTTGCCCTAAGGGAGTTGACTTCAAGTCACCACTCCTTATCTCTGACTTTGGTTGAATGTGTTCACACTTGTAATCCTGAATTTGGATTGTTTTTGGCATAAAATCAAATTAAGGGGCCAAACATTTCAGCAATCATATATTGGATATTTCAACTGGTGTTAAATTATGCATGGATCATAGTCTTGATTACAAGTATGAATTCAAATACAGAGTTCACCAGGCCAAGTGCTGCATCACCCCACATGACATATAAACATAATTTATTGATAAAAAAAAAATAGACATACTTGTCATCGAATCGAGGCAGGGTGCCCTCTTGTTTTCATTTTATCATAAAATTATTTTATAATTGTTGACCGTATGTAGTAGGACAAATATTTAATATCTGAAAACAATAAAATATGATTTTAATGAATATCAGAAGTCGAAGGATGCAATGCACAGATCAGTCTCAGGGTTTGCTGCCAAAGAGGACCGGTGAAGTTTCTTTAATTTTCGGGAGCAGACAAAGTAGACTTTTGGGTATACGAATCCAAGGGTTTATTAGGAGAAAATACGAAACAGACCACATGCCATTGCTGCTAATTTGGACACAATATTATTCCATCTGTCATGACGTTCCTCCATATTTCCTAAAAGTGTCTTTCACTTAAACTTTTGTTTTATGCAAGTCTTAAACTTAATCTTTACTACAACAATTCGCACACACTTGGACTCTCTCTCTCCAATCAACCATCGGAAAATGGAAATTTCCGGCGCCGACGTTGCATCTCCCGCCGACACCGTCGCTGAAACAGTCGACTTCCAAGGGAAGCCCGCCGTCAGATCCTCCACCGGCGGGCATTAAGATGGAAAATCAAAAAAAAAAAAGGGTACATTAAGATGGTATAAAAAATTTAATATAGAAATGAGTATCGTGTTTAAATTATATATATTTTTTAAATTTATTTATTTTCACTGAAAAATAACATATTTTGTAGTAATTTTACACAATTACGGTTATCTCTATGCATTGGAGTGAATTTACATAAAGATTTACACACACGAGAACCATACCACATATAGAGAGAGAAGCACTTGTGTGTGTGTGTGTGTGTGTGTAAATAATTTATGTAAAATAATTGCAAGAACCTACATAGCACATGTAGCTCCATGTTAAAAAGATCTAAGATTTAGTCCACATATATATGAGGTAACAATAAATCAAATCTCATTAATTTCCAAAGATTACCCAACGTATATTTTATAATTTTATATAATAAAGTTAATATAGAAAGGAGCATAATGGAAGGGAAGCACGTTATTTTTGTTCATATATGGTTTTTAAATATGTATATTTGAAATTATTAAATTAAAGTGTAAGACCAAGAACATGTTAGCAATTTGTCTCTTTGGATTAATATTTAAAAAATAGCGCAGATGTCACAGTTTTGGATATTTTCAGTTTTTCAAAATATGAAATATGTGACGCGAGGGTGACTATTTCGATTTCGATTTCAATTATAAAAAAGTTATAACCATTTAATTTTTTTTATAAATTTCGTTTCGTTTCGTTTCGGTTCGGATTTAACTTTTCTAATAAAAAAAAATTTTGTAAAAAAAATATCGTTTTTTTTTATAATTTTTTATTTGTTTTGATTCAGTTCGTTTTTTATGGGCTGGGCCTAAAGCCAATATTATGAGGCCCATTAACTAAAACGACGTCGTTTTGTCTCCCAACCAAAACCCTAATACTCCTCTTTTAACTCGTCACTGTTAAAAGGCTTCCGTTCGTCCTTGTCGTAGATGCATCTCTCTGGTAATTCGTCTCCTCTCTTTTTTTTTTTTTCTGAGTTTTTTTTTTAAACACCAGTTTCCGTCACTTGTCCTTTTTTTTTTAATAAGATGATATGGTTGGTTGATAAGTTGGAATCAAATGATGAGATTGGATCAATTATTCTCACGACGGTCGTCTGAGACAAATCATGTGATGCATCGAATCCAATGTTCTCTGATGATATTTTCTTCCTCAATTTTTTTTTTTATTTACCCTCTTCATGACCTTCTGTAATTCCTCCTTGCAGATCAAATCGGGTTTCGGTTTAAGTTTGGTTCCATTATTTTCGATTTTGAATTTTTTATTTGAACAAAAAATGATTTTTATTCGTTCTTCATATTTTATTTGGATTTGGTTTCGGCTTTGTTTGAGTTAATTTCTGATTATCTAGTTGTTTAGGTTATAAATCTTTTATATGTATTATGGGCAAATATTACAATAAAAGTAAGAATTATTTGGAGGTAAAAAACCTTGTGCGGACAGAACATCGAAACGAGATGCGACGACAAAAGGAAAAGAAAGGGTGGAACACGAGGACTTCCCAGGAGGTCATCCATCCTAGTACTACTCTCGCCCAAGCACGCTTCATTGCGGAGTTCTGATGGGATCCGGTGCATTAGTGCTGGTATGATCGCACTGGTCGACTCTTGCGTTCACTACGTTTCATCTATTTTCACCCGCTAGTTCGTTCACGGCCTTTCGCCATTCTTGACCCCGCAAAATATAGCCGCGAAATCTAAGTTCTCCGGTTTTTTTTCAACGGTTTGGTTCTCGTACCATTTCCGACTAGAACAAACAACAACAGAACAAACCCATGCCGAACAAACAACAACAGAACAAACCCATGCCGAACAAACAACAACAGAACAAACCCATGCCGAACAAACAAGACAACGGTTATCTTTATCAAACAAGACAACGGTTATCGTCTCCGTTAACCCGAAACGAGGTGTGAAAAATAAAAAACATCAATCAAATATTACAATAAAAGTAAGAATTATTTGGAGGTAAAAAACCCTGTGCGGACAGAACATCGAAACGAGATGCGACGACAAAAGGAAAAGAAAGGGTGCAACACGAGGACTTCCCAGGAGGTCATCCATCCTAGTACTACTCTCGCCCAAGCACGCTTCATTGCGGAGTTCTGATGGGATCCGGTGCATTAGTGCTGGTATGATCGCACTCGTCGACTCTTGCGTTCACTACGTTTCATCTATTTTCACCCGCTAGTCCGTTCACGGCCTTTCGCCATTCTTGACCCCGCAAAATATAGCCGCAAAATCTAAGTTCTCCGGTTTTTTTTCAACGGTTTGGTTCTCGTACCATTTCCACCTAGAACAAACAACAACAGAACAAACCCATGCAGAACAAACGAACATCGGTGGAACGAGATCCGGTGGAAAAAATGGCGCAACACGTGCAACCGGGTATTGCATTAGAATTTATCAAACAAGACAACGGTTATCATCTCCGTTAACCCGAAACGAGGTGTGAAAAATAAAAAACATCAATCAAATATTACAATAAAAATAAGAATTATTTGGAGGTAAAAAACCATGTGCGGACAGAATATCGAAACGAGATGCGACGACAAAACGAAAAGAAAGGGTGCAACACGAGGACTTCCCAGGAGGTCATCCATCCTAGTACTACTCTCGCCCAAGCACGCTTCACTGCGGAGTTCTGATGGGATCCGGTGCATTAGTGCGGTATGATCGCACTGGTCGACTCTTGCGTTCACTACGTTTCATCTATTTTCACCCGCTAGTCCGTTCACGGCCTTTCGCCATTCTTGACCCCGCAAAATATAACCGCGAAATCCGAGTTCTCCGGTTTTTTCTCAACGGTTTGGTTCTCGTACCATTTCCACCTAGAACAAACAACAACAGAACAAACCCATGCAGAACAAACGAACATCGGTGGAACGAGATCCGGTGGAAAAAATGGCGCAACACGTGCAACCGGGTATTGCATTAGAATTTATACAACAAGACAAGGGTTATCGTCTCCGTTAACCCGAAACGAGGTGGGAAAAATAAAAAACATCAATCAAATATTACAATAAAAATAAGAATTATTTGGAGGTAAAAAACCCTGTGCGGACAGAACATCGAAACGAGATGCGACGACAAAACGAAAAGAAAGGGTGCAACACGAGGACTTCCCAGGAGGTCATCCATCCTAGTACTACTCTCGCCCAAGCACGCTTCACTGCGGAGTTCTGATCGGATCCGGTGCATTAGTGCTGGTATGATCGCACTCGTCGACTCTTGCGTTCACTACGTTTCATCTATTTTCACCCGCTAGTCCGTTCACGGCCTTTCGCCATTCTTGACCCCGCAAAATATAGCCGCGAAATCCGAGTTCTCCGGTTTTTTTCTCAACGGTTTGGTTCTCATAATGCCTACAAATGCATGTGATCTCCGTATAAATCCTATAAAAACGCCCTGGAGATGTAGAGAGAAATATGAGTTATCAAACCTAGAACTGGTCACGAAGCAGAGAGAAAAACAACTGGGCGTGTCGGAAGTGTTTACGGTGGTGGGTCTTCAAGAGTTCTTCTACGACCAAGTGCCGAGCGAGCTCAGAAGCGTGGGTCTGTCTCTCTACTTGAGCGTTCTGGGCATCGGAGATGTTCTGAGTAGCCTTATGGTTTCTGCCATTGGGGAGGCCACTTCCCAAAGCAGCCAGACGAGCTGGTTTGCGAATAACCTGAACAAGGGTCATCTCGACTACTTCTATTGGTTACTTGCCAGCATCAACTCCTTCGGTCTGGTTTCCTTCTTGCATTTTGCCAAGTCTTATGTCTACAAAACACCAAACTCGTTGTGAATTTAACCGCTGCTATCTGCTTTTCTCATTGTGACCCGATGTATGATTCATACAGAAAGAACTGTACCTCCGTCTGATCCGCAGTTTGAATATGTATTGGCTCGAGTGCTCTGTTTTTTGGCAGAGCAAAACAGAGACACTTTTGTTCAGGTGAGGAAGACATGTTTGTTTTTTTTTTTATAGAAAATCTGTTTTGATTGGATGGCTTGACCAAAGGAAAACATCAAAACAAACTGAGATGAAGATATGTCCGAGCTGTCACTCGGTGGCCGTCTTTCACGATGACGTCAGCCTCCGGCTCCGTCAGCGCCCACACCGCCCGTGCTAAAAACGTGCTCAATATCAGACATACCCTCACTCTGGTTTCACGTCGATTAATCTTCCCGACGTTTTTTTTTCTACGTGTTGCTGATTGACACGTCATGCCACGTGGTACTCTCTGCGTCAACCACGCATCCACTATCTTTCGCATCGTAGTTTAAGGGTGATAAATGATGGGCCCTCGCAAACAGCCCATTAAGGCCCAAATGATAACTAACCTAGAAATAGAAAGAGAGAATAAAAGCATAAATAAATACTTTTAATGTTACGGGTAAAGGAGGATGTATCGATAGGGAAATGGGAATATGCTTCGAAGTGGAAGCAGAAAGGGAAATGCTCATGCGCTCTGTGCCTTCTCTTTTTCTCTGCAATCAAACCCATTCATCTTTCTTAAAGAGACAAGGAAACAAAAACATGGAATACCACATTTGATATTGTGGATCTCATTCCACAACCTAACAAGAGCCATATATCTAAACTGATGTCGTCTTCTTCTACGTTAAATTAAAAAAAATAATAAAAAAAATTCTCACCTGATGAGGAGCTTGCAAGTGGGTCACAAATTAAATGACACGTAAAGATGTGCACTTGTTCAATTATATATATTAGTAAGGTGCATTACCTTGGATCTATACATGACAAATTAAGGCTGCAGTGTGTGTGTGTGTGTATATACACTGTCAAAAGAGAGGGGGAGAAAAAGCGATGAAGAGGGAGGCATGTGATATTATATTACACGTGGCCTGGCTTCGACAAGAGAACAAAAGGCAAATACAATTCACCTTGTATCCACAACACACATGCATGCGTGTGTATGTAAACATTCGTATTTATTTTTTAACAGTGATCTACCGTGTCTATATATTGGCAATTGGTATTTCATCATCACCTACCGCATATGTAATCACGTCTGCATTTTTTGTGTGTATATATACAAACACGACATATATAGAATATCATATCTAATATCTATCGATCGCATTTTTGAAATCTGTAACATGAACAGCATGTGGATATCTGACAAAAAAAAAGAACCAATGGCATGGCATCGTAGATATTTTCTCAAGGCAATATAAAACGATCCATTTTCCATCGTCCTTGTATAAAATCTCAGTTACCAAAACGAGGTCACAAGAATCAAGTCATGACCAAGGAAGTTACTGAGAGACTAGAGATAGATTAACAGGCCTCTCTCTCTCTCGCCGCTGCTTCCAAAAGCAGCAAATGCTGAGTCGTAGAACGGAAACATGTCTTAGAGGTCACATGTTTTTCAATTCCAAGAGAGGACATTTGCTTTTAATGTGTTCCTACCAAACCAATACTTAATGCTGTACGGACTGTTGTTTCTCGGAGATTCCATTATATTTATCACAGCAAGGTCACGCGGGATTTACTATATTTTTTTTTAAATAAAAATTAAGTATATATGGTTTCAGTTGTTTGTTAACGACCGGTTTTAGAGCCTGTTCAATTTTTATTTTGTATTGCGTTGATACATTTATTATGGGCATTGACCACTCTTATAGCTTTAAAAAGGAGAAAAAAAAAGAGAGGGCAGAAAAGGGATCCCCAATAAAAATACAATGAACCTTAGCTACTAAGGAGCGGATTGTTGACTTCAAAGCAAACTTCCAAATCAGAAAAACAACGATAAATTGAATAAATATTTATATCAGGAAATAAATAATAATTAAATGTGCGGATAAAAATCTACAGTTTTCGTGAACGTGAGTGATCCATCTCTCTCGCACATTTCTCTTCTCCCCATGGAAACCCCATTGAACGACAAAAACAAAATATTGTCCTCACAAACTAAAATGTTAGTGCGACAATTAGAGAATATATGAGAGAATGCATGAACTAACGAATTTTTGCACCACCAACTCCAAATAATATGTGTCGGAACAACTTCTGTGTGATAATGTAAAATATCCCTTTGCATTTGGTGTATGTATTACATCCAGCCTATATATATATGCGTATCATAGCATTATGTTTGAGACAGAAAAAAAAAACGTGTATACGCTTGTACACGTATGTAAGTCTTGAAACATACTAATGGTGATGTTGTGGTTGCCATTTTAATCCTTCATTTTCATATAATTTCTTCGGTGGGGGAAAAGACACAAGTTGCTTATTTTATAGGGAAATATTATATTTTATTATAAGAAATCCTTTGGCTTATCATGATCGATGGCATTAGCATTAGCATTAGCAAACAAAACACAAGTGCCTGCCTCCTCGACAAGGATGGTACATCGCTTATGGTCCTACACCTCACTCACCTAATATTCTTTATTTTTACATTCTATTTTTATCTGTTTAATGGAACAAAAAGTTACAGTTGCCCATGATTCATTACACCTTTATTGTTTTCATTTTATTGAAATTTATGAATTTTGTGCTGTCGTGTAGCTTCGTCCGGTATATACGTAAGAATCTGGCGTTAGGACATGATGCCTTTACTTAAATCGAAATTCATTTGGAGAATCTAATAAATTAACAACTTGCCGTATAAATTATTTGCCGAAATAACCTATCCTCACTACAATCATGTCTGTTAATTTTAACTGTCCTTTACAACAGAAAAGGTAAATTATAATTTTAAATGATTGTGATAAAGAAAAAAAAAGTCCAAAATGGACTAATGACGTCTTCCTCTTGCCTTCTCTCTCTCCCCCAAAGGTTTTTCTCCTGTTTGAATTTGAAACACATCATAAGTTCCTGTTATTACATCAAAATAATAATGAGAGAGAGAAACGATAGTCTCATTTCCTCTGTTTCGGGTTCCATCGTTCATCTCTCTTCATAATTGCAGCCATCTTCTTCACCCGAATTCTCTCTCCACCGCTCTGATTTCTCTCCTCCCGACACAGGAGATGAGCAAACTGGTGGTGGAAGTAGTGGACGCGAGCGATCTGAAGCCCAAAGACGGACAAGGATCCGCCAGTCCATTCGCCGAAGTCGATTTTGACGACCAGCGTCAGAGGACGCAGACGCGGCACAAGGATCTCAACCCTCAGTGGCACGAGAAGCTTGTCTTCCATGTCCCCGACCCCACCGCTCTTGAGCTTGCAAGTGGGCCACAAATTAAATGACACGTAAAGATGTGCACTTGTTCAATTATATATATTAGTAAGGTGCATTACCTTGGATCTATACATGACAAATTAAGGCTGCAGTGTGTGTGTGTGTGTATATACACTGTCAAAAGAGAGGGGGAGAAAAAGCGATGAAGAGGGAGGCATGTGATATTATATTACACGTGGCCTGGCTTCGACAAGAGAACAAAAGGCAAATACAATTCACCTTGTATCCACAACACACATGCATGCGTGTGTATGTAAACATTCGTATTTATTTTTTAACAGTGATCTACCGTGTCTATATATTGGCAATTGGTATTTCATCATCACCTACCGCATATGTAATCACGTCTGCATTTTTTGTGTGTATATATACAAACACGACATATATAGAATATCATATCTAATATCTATCGATCGCATTTTTGAAATCTGTAACATGAACAGCATGTGGATATCTGACAAAAAAAAAGAACCAATGGCATGGCATCGTAGATATTTTCTCAAGGCAATATAAAACGATCCATTTTCCATCGTCCTTGTATAAAATCTCAGTTACCAAAACGAGGTCACAAGAATCAAGTCATGACCAAGGAAGTTACTGAGAGACTAGAGATAGATTAACAGGCCTCTCTCTCTCTCGCCGCTGCTTCCAAAAGCAGCAAATGCTCAAGTTCCTCGGCCGTGTCAGGATATCCGGCGTGTCTGTTCCCTTGTCTGAATCCGAGGCCACCGTCCAGAGATACCCGCTCGACAAACGCGGCCTTTTCTCCCACATCAAAGGCGATATCGCCCTCAGAATCTATGCTCTGCCTCTCGACGACTCCAATTTTGCTCCGCCCACGCCCCAGGAGGAACCGGCCGAGGTGACGAAGAACTATGAAAGTTATGAAACCCCGTTTGTGGAAATCGATGGAAACGCTAAAGCCGAAGAAGTTCACACGGAGAAGAAGCCGAAAAAGAAGGAAAAGGAAGCGAGGACGTTCCACTCCATCGGCACGGCCGCGGCGGCTCCTCCTCCGGCGATTCCGCCAACGGAGTTCAGGGCGGATTTCATGCGGGCGCCGGGCCCTCCGCCGACGGCCGTAATGCAGATGCCAGTCCCGAGACAGAACCCGGATTTCCAACTAGTGGAGACGAGCCCTCCTCTGGCGGCGAGAATGAGACAAGCGAACTACTTCCGAAGCGGAGACAAGACAGCGAGCACGTACGACCTGGTCGAGCAGATGCATTACCTCTACGTGAACGTTGTGAAAGCCCGAGACCTTCCCGTGATGGATGTCTCCGGCAGTCTCGACCCTTACGTGGAAGTGAAGCTCGGCAACTACAAAGGAGTGACTAAACACTTGGAGAAGAACCAGAATCCTGTCTGGAAACAGATTTTCGCTTTCACCAAAGACAGATTACAATCAAATCTGCTTGAGATCACCTTGAAAGACAAGGACGTTTTGACAAAAGACGATTTCGTGGGAAGAGTCCTCATCGATCTCTCGGAAGTTCCTCTTAGGGTTCCTCCCGACAGTCCTCTGGCTCCACAGTGGTACAAGCTCGAGGACAAGAAAGGCATGAAGACCAACAAAGGGGAGATAATGTTGGCTGTATGGATGGGGACACAGGCCGATGAGTCTTTTCCCGAGGCTTGGCACTCGGACGCTCATCGAGTGAGCCACTCGAACCTCGCCAATACAAGGTCTCAGGTTTACTTCTCGCCCAAGCTGTATTACCTGAGGGTGCACATAATAGAGGCTCAGGATCTCGTGCCGTCTGAAAAGGGCCGAGCACCAGATGCAGTGGTCAAGGTGCAGGCGGGCAATCAGATGAGAGCCACGAGGACTGCTCAGATGCGGACAGTGAATCCACAGTGGCACGATGAACTCATGTTTGTTGTGTCTGAACCGTTTGAGGACATGATTGTCATCTCGGTGGACGATAGAGTCGGTCCAGGGAAAGATGAGATACTCGGGAGGGTGTTCATACCCGTTAGAGATGTCACGGTGAGGCACGAGACAAGCAAAATGCCAGAGCCACGGTGGTTGAATCTTCAGAAACCGTCTCTAGCGATGGAGGAAGAGACTGAGAAGAAAAAGGAGAAATTCTCCAGCAAGATCCTCGTAAGGCTCTGTTTAGAAGCAGGGTACCACGTTCTTGATGAATCCACACACTTCAGCAGCGATCTTCAGCCATCTTCAAAGCATCTAAGGAAGCCAAGTATCGGAATTTTGGAGCTCGGTATTCTCAGCGCTAGGAACTTGATGCCGATGAAAGGCAAAGAAGGGACGTCAACCGACGCATACTGCGTGGCCAAATATGGCAACAAATGGGTGAGGACGAGGACTCTTCTCGACTCACTAGCTCCCAGATGGAATGAGCAGTACACATGGGAGGTCTTTGACCCATGTACTGTCATAACAATTGGCGTCTTCGACAATGCTCACATCAATGGTGGTGGTGATGTCAGAGACCAAAGGATCGGGAAGGTGAGAGTCCGGCTGTCTACTTTGGAAACCGACAGGGTCTACACACATTTCTACCCATTGCTGGTCCTTACACCGTCTGGTCTAAAAAAGAATGGAGAGCTTCAGTTGGCTCTGAGGTTCACCTGCACGGCATGGGTGAACATGGTGGCACAGTACAGAAAACCATTGTTGCCGAAGATGCATTACGTTCAACCAATACCCGTCAGGCACATCGACTCGTTGAGGCACCAGGCAATGCAGATAGTTGCATCGAGGCTGGCAAGGGCCGAGCCACCTCTGAGGCGTGAGGTCGTGGAGTACATGCTTGACGTCGACTACCATATGTTCAGTCTCAGGAGAAGCAAAGCCAATTTCACCAGGATTATGTCGCTAGTCTCATCTGTCACTCTGGTCTGCAAGTGGTTCAACGATATCTGCACATGGAGAAACCCGATCACGACGTGTCTGGTTCACGTCCTGTTCTTGATCCTGGTCTGTTATCCAGAACTAATCTTGCCTACGATCTTCCTCTACCTCTTTGTGATTGGAATGTGGAATTATCGGCTCAGGCCGAGACACCCTCCTCACATGGATGCACGTCTGTCCCAAGCCGACCACGCTCATCCAGACGAGTTAGATGAGGAGTTTGACACATTCCCAACCGGTAAACCCTCGGATGTTGTCAGATATAGGTATGACAGGCTGAGGAGCGTAGCGGGGAGGGTCCAGACAGTGGTGGGAGACCTCGCAACGCAGGGGGAGAGAGCTCAGGCGCTGCTGAGTTGGAGAGACCCGAGAGGCACAGCTATATTCATAGTCTTCTCGCTGATCTGGGCGGTGTTTATTTATGTCACACCGTTCCAGGTGATAGCAATCCTGGTGGGGTTGTACATGCTGCGTCATCCAAGGTTCAGGAGCAAGATGCCTTCAGTACCAGTCAATTTCTTCAAGAGATTACCAGCCAAGTCAGATATGCTGCTGTAAGGAAAAAAGAGTGAAATTCATCTCAGTAAATAAAACGTCACTGTAATTGATTGTAGTGTATCAGAGAGGAGATTTGTAGAGGGAAAAAGAGTGAAATCCATACACTGCAGCGCCAGTGGTGGGGGCTGATGCCTCACACCCACTTGTTCACAGTGAAATAAATAACAAGGCCCATTCTTTTTCAGCACGAATCTGTTGGTCCCAAAAGGAAAACCCTAGATCCCATATTAATCAGCAAGACAACTAAATCCCAATGGGGGCCCGCTCCCACTCAGCAAGTTGTTGCCTTTCCAAGCAACTAAATCCCAATAGGTGCTTACCAAGTGAACTCCATCCGTTGCTGTATCATAAACTGCACATTGCAAAAACAAAAAGAAAATGTGAAAACCAATGATACACCACTTCCCAAATCTAAAGAGGATATAAGTTAACAAGTGTTTAAGCATACCTGGGCGTGGGTAAAACTGAGAAATATGAACTTTGAGAGCACTTGTATTCCTTCCCTTGATCAGAGCAACTGTTTGCGCAAAATGCCTGGCATCGGGAAAACGTTGGAAATGGAATCTCTGGCCCAGCCAAACTATGCCAACAAGCAACATAATTCGCATCATAATGCAATCAAATTTCTCAGAGCCAATAAAAGCATTCCAGGCAAGTTTTCAAGGTATTTCCTATGATAAAGGCAAACTAGACCATAGACAACGTGTCTGACTTTGACAGTGAATCATACATGAAGAAATGCAATCAAAGGTAGCACAGGTTTCGGGTTTGTCCAGCACTAACTAGGAAAGCCACATATTATATCAGGTAGCAATATTTGCATTCCTTCCTGGCACAAGTTCTGTTAAGGTTCTTGAATCCGGCCACTGTGTATCCTTGCTCATGGCCTGCAACAACATATAACATGAACATGGCCATATGAAAAGATCAGCATAGGGCAGTTCAAGAAGATTCTGCGCTCCCCATCAAGACAGCATCACTGCCAGATTGTCATTCTGTTAAGGTTCTTGAATCCGGCCACTGTGTAATCCTTGCTCATGGCCTGCATCACTGCTCTTACCTCTTGATATCAAAGTGGCCATGGCAGACTGAACAGCTGCGATAATTACAACAGGTCACATACATTGCTATCACAACATGTTCAAGCGAGCAAAAGAACTCTCGTCCACAGAGCCAAAGATCAAGCAAACGTTTAAGCTTACGCGTTAATGAGCCACAGGTCAGCCTCCTCTGGGATCTCCGTTAATCCATGGCCGAATGCTGTGAGCTGACCAGCCATATACTCACGAGTCACTATCACTCTGAACATCAACCGTAAAACATGACAAGATTCATGATGGTTGTCAAATAAGGTACAACTAAGTGCATAATCTAACTAAAGGAAATCAATATCTTAAGCACCGAAGGGATAACATGAAATCAAGCCCTGATGAGACAACTTAGCGTCAATCACGACTCAGGCCTAAGAGCTAACAAGAAAGAACATGAAAAACTCAAGAACCAACTTGCCTAGTTATGGGAGCATCCGACTGTCTTCATATATATCGTCTGCGAAACCCAACCGAAACCACCAAAAAGAAAAGTTTAAATACACAGGAAACATCATGGATATGGTGAAAGAACGAGAGGAGGACCCGAGTACCAGGGAACTTGGAAGAAAGAGCCGGCGAGTCATTATGATCCAGAGAAAGCACCAGCTTCACCTTGGTTGGGGATGTGTAATCTTCAAACGTCTGGGTTCATTCCAACCGCCTTCAAAGGTAATCGAAAACCTGGAGGAGCACCGCCGCCCAACAAAATCCTCCATTCCCGTCTTCTCTCACCGCACGGCGGCTGAAACGAGGAGGCCAGAGAGGGGTTTTTCACGGTGAGAACTTTTCCGGAGCCGTTTCCGGATGTGTTTAAATGTTCTAAAACAGGCTCAATTGTAGTTCGTTAGGCCCATTAAGAAGTACCAAAGATTTGCTCGGGTCGGGTCAAATTCATAATTGACCCAATGGAACAAGTGGGTCCTTAAGAGGGCCCAATGGGCCAATTCACAGATATTTCTTTGTACTATATATCTATCTATGGATTGACATTTGCATTTATCATACATAATAATTATGTACATTTATGTCAGTAAACGAATTTTCAATTATAGTTTTTCTAATTAAGACTTAAATATGAGAAGGAAGGTTGCATATTTTTAAAAAAGGAAGTGCTGCAAATTTGATGGTAGAGAATTAGTATCTGTAACGGCTACTACTTTATTTATTTTGACTCGAAATTCATTACTTGGCTAATTTGCTTCGGACGCACATAGACGAAAGATTATACTTATCAATCATTTCTACCAAATACTCCTTCCGTTGAAAATATTAGGCCTTTTTCTTTTATCAATCTAAACTTTATTATAATATTGGCAATTAATATTATTCATTTATTCAAACATTAGTCAATGATAAACTATTTTAGGGATTGGCCAATGCAATTAATATTGTTCTTCGGCATCATTATCATATAAAAATTTTAGAACTATACTGCAATCAGAAGACGAAGGTTTTCACTCTTAACATAATATAATTAATGTTAGAGAAATTTAATATTTAAATCTTAAATCAAATTGCATTATCTGTAAATGCAAATATTGATTTAAAGAATCCAAAGTGTCTGTTTATTTATACCCCGTTCATTGGATCCACGTCACTAATTACACTCTCGCCTCGTTGACTCCGAGAGTTTAATTTGGTGAGCTCACGATTAACGAATACGCATTAAAAAAAACATTTTGTTTCTGTTGGTTAGATGCAAATAATTTACACGTACTACCATCAAATATTATTAAAAAAAAGATATTTATTTATTCGTCAAAATAATTTACACGTACTACCATCAAATACACGTGCTGTATACACACACACACACACACATATATATATATATATATAGAGGCATATGTGTATGTATATACGCATAAGCGTATAAGTACTATACTTTCCATTACCTAGGCAGGCCGTCAGAAAATCAAAACCAAAGAGTTCGGTCGGAGAAATGTCAGATTGGAATTTCAATGGGAATCAGACTCCTCCGTTTGTTCCCTTATCGAGTCTTAATCCATCCCCGACTTATCTGGCAGATCCTAATTTTTTGGTATATATTCTCTTCTTTTTCTGTTTCTCTTGTGTATTTGGGTTAAATCTATGGAGTTCGTCGTCGTTTTCCATGCGATTTATGTTTTCCTTTAAATAAAAGATATTTGGATACAAAATCACAGAATCTTCGATTTTATCACAATATCTATGTGTAGATTCACCGGCACATTACACATGCTATTAGATCTGTACTCATTCGGATTTATATGCAATCTTCTCAATTATATAAAAACATACGAGCAATGGATGAACATAGTTTACCCTCTCCTTTTAACCAACAAATATAAAGTATGTTTTCATGATTTTATATACGTCTTGATCTATTTTGATGTGAAAGTTTGAATAAGAAGAAAATATAAGGCTTTTATTACATACCAACGCGCTAAAATTTACGCGGGAAATTTAAAAATAGACGTGTAAAACACGTATCATCGTATTTAAAGTCATTTTATTTATCATCGTATAATATAATTTAATGATTATAAAGATTATTAATGTTGGATTGTTTTTAACTACTACAAATTACAAATATTTTTTTGTGTGAAAAAAACAGTAAATTTGTGTTTGGATTTGCAAAAGATATTTCCTTTTTATATTTCAATGAATGATTAATGTCTCTAGATTATCGGTATTGTTACGCATGCCCACATAAATTAATCCTCGTGTCTGTGAGAATTGTGACTGTTGTTGTGGATACAAGAGACACATAAATCCCAAGAGAAATCAGAGGGGGGATTTATTGTTTTTGAGAAATGAAAGCATATAAAAATAATGCAGAGGAGAATGACGGAGGAGATGGAGAGGAACGGAGCGTTCAACACAAACGAAAGGCCGTACATTCCTCTTCGGCCTGACGTCTCTGATGGGAGCCGCCCCCAAGCAGCAGCTGACATTGCACCTCTCAGAATGCTCTTCCCTCTTCTTCGCCATAACCCCAACTCCGTGCGTTAATTATTCATTATTACAACATATATACATATGCACGTATGTATGTACAATGGAATGCTGTTCCCTGGTTTCAGGTTCGCGGAACTGTCCCCTCTTCAACTATTCGTCCGCCACAAAATACAACTTCTCAGGGGAATACGATCCCAATAGGAGTGAGTCTACTGTTCATATGTATATATGTATATTAATCACGTTTACATTCTCTATATGTGTATATACATATTCTTGAAACTCAAGGCGCTTGAAGTTAAATATTTATTGGAGAATAGCTACTTGATAATATTACAGTGGAAGTGTATATATATGTATGTATTCGAAAAGCTTCTCATTGTATATCGGCAGGTGATGCGATATTATGTATTGAAATGTAGGGGTATCCGTTCAGGGCAGTGCGACGAAATGGGCCGGTCCTTGACGTCGAACCTATTCCAATGATCGCCCATGAGAGCCACACTGGCCCCATCCGCCATAAACCTACCTCCTCGAGGAAAATAGTATATATGCCAATCTTTTGTGATGTTTTTTTTTAATTCGTATCCATTACACAAATCAATATACATATACATACGTAGATAGGGAATGGTATTTCTAAAAGATTGTCGGTGTAGGGACATCCGTTCAGGAGGGCAACACAAAATCGACCTGTGGTTAATTTTAATCGAACTATAGCCTCTGGGAGCTACGATGGCCCTACCCACTTCAACAATGAGCCAAATATTCTGGTACGTCGCTAGAGAAAAAAAAACCCTTCTTTATGTCTTTACATATCCTATACGGACATATATGTTATACGCGAGTGTTTTAAAAATATATATAGATAGATAGATGTTACATTTTTTTATCCACGTGTGCGTGTGTGTGTATATACACTTATTTTGTGGAAATCAAGGTTTGTATGATCGAAGAGATGTGTGTGTTTGTGAATTAGTCGATACACAGAATCAAATAAAACATATGATGCGACATATATATATACAGAAAGTATTTATTCGTGTAACGCATAATCATGTTTGTCCATCCACACAGGAATCTAGCTCTAATGACAACCACAGGAGAGCGATGCAGCCGACTCCACCTATAGTAATTCCTGACAACGAATCCGGCGGCTACATAGATGAGGTATACATACATACATGTATATATATGTCTATATGTGTGTGTGTGTGTGTGTGTGTGTGTGTGTGTGTGTGTGTGTGTTATATGAATGATAATGTTCTCTCGTGACAGGAACTTCACTTCCATGGCCCTATTACAATGCAACAAGTTTTAGGAAACGGATCATCCCAAAATGTACTGATTTACAACTATACGATATCATTGTGTATATAGAATATACGAAGAGACGTGTAATGTAACATTCATGCATATTTCTTTGTAATATTCTCTCCTGACAGGAACCTCGCACTAGTAACTCGACTCTGATGCAACCGATTTCAAGTGTTTTATCACCCCAAAGTGTATCGACCTACACCTATGAGGTGATTATATAACCGTGTATATGGTGGATCGATGGATATACTTAAAATATAACATTCATTCACATTTTTGCCTATATGCACATGTGTGTGTATAGTGATGATAGCCTGATTTCCTGACAGGTGCCTAGTTCTCGAAACCAGGCTCCAATGCGGCAAGTTTCAGGTTTCCTATCACCGCAAAGGGAATTGAACCAAGCTACCCGCAACTATGAGGTAATTATATAATCGTGTATATTAATAGCCGTACAGTGTAACATTCAGACGCATTTCTTTTCCTGTATATATATGCGTGGGGTTGTGATCGCTCCTGAGAGTAATTAACCTCGTTCAGATGAGTCATGAACCAACTCAATTGCAGCAAAATCCAGGTGCTTTAGTACCCCATAGTGCACCTACCTACAACTATGAGGTATATATATATTGTGTTTCGTTTCCCTATATATATATGTGTGAGGTGAGTGATAATGATATAAATATCCTTCTTGTGTCGCGGCCAGCCTTGCTCTGGAATCCCCACCCCAATGCATCCAATTTCAAATGTTCAGTCATCCCAGAGTGTACCGACTCTAGTGGCCTGCCACTTCGAGGTGATTTTGCGATTTAACCATATGAATATACTTTGTCGATACGTGTGCATGAGAATGAAACTGATGCATACTTTGGCGCAGTGTTATAACAACAATAACAATAACAAAATGGAAGAACAAATGAACATGAACCCCATGGAGGGGGAATTAGGCTTTATGGAGCAAAGTTTTATCCCTATGGAGTCTCAGATGGGGAACAATGCTACCGGCATTCCGCATTATAACAATGGTCAGTCCTTTCCTTATATATATATATATTTATATGTTATGGAATTAAGATTTAATATATATATATATATATATATAATAGAAAATATAAAGACTGTGTAATATGTTCATCTTATACTCAGAGTTGCATACATCTTTTTTTTTTTTGGGCAGATTTTGGGGGATTAAGCAGTGTTGCCGCGGCGGACTTGGGAACCTCATCCAACGCCAGTAAGTACACACTATTTAATTATTAACATATTAAATCTTAATTTTTTTTGCAGCATCTCTAATCAACTTTTTTTTTTTGTTTGCAGATGGAGAGAGATGGAATGATGAAGAAGACGCGGCTGGTACTACTGAGAGCTTTATCGATGACGACTTCTTCAAAGGCTTGGAGTTCCCGTGGAATTTCTTCTAACCAACTCCTCTGCATTGGCACCTTGCTTTGTTCTTTTATTTGGACCTTGCCTTTTTTTTTGCATTTTCCGCTTCCATTAGACTTAATTTGGTACCTTTGGCGTTTTTAATACTCGCCTCCATTTATTACATTTTGAAGCTGGGTTTATGGCTGACGATTTAAAAAAAGAAAGATGGTGCAACTCGGGTGTATGGCGTTTGGAAACCCAAGTTGTGGGTTCGAGCTCGGGCTCTGTCGACCGATTACCCGAGTTCGCGGGTAACCAGGGTTAAAAGAATATGGTGAGGACTGAGGAGGGTGAGAGGTCGTGAGTGCGCGAGGAGGTTTAGGAGTTGAATTGGATTACTCGGGATCTGTGGCGAGAGCAATTTCACGATTTCGGTTCGCCATCCCTCGTGCTCCTCCATCTCGATTTCATGGTGTGTATGTGCTCTACGATAATCCCAGGAGAGGATTATAAAAAAACATATCCAGAATCGTCAGCAGAGCTTTGGTAGAACCACTACATTCATCTCATTTAACGTTTTTACAAAACCCACGTACCAAAATATAATGGAACGACTCCGAGTTCAAAACGGCGTCGGTTCAGCCTCCTCTTCTTATCGTTATCATGAACCTATGGCCACCACGCGATCCCAACATCCACCACACACTCATTTTGTATATAAAATTAAGTAATTTAAACCTATATTTTATATTGTACATAAAATTTAAAACATTTGAGATCAATATATGGCGAGACTCCCACTTTGCGGCAATCTACAGATGGAAGGGAGGGACGTAATCTTCCATGCATCACCCTTCCCTCCCTCGGTGTCTCGGAGAAGCCATTCCCTCGCAGTTTCTGCAGCTAACTTGGGAAACTTTTCACTCGATTCCGTACGAATTTACTATCCTATACTTATCTTAATTACAAATACGTTATATAATTATTGAATATAACCCATTATAATCTTGTATGTATGTATGTTTATCGAATAAGCCAATTGTGAAGCATCTCAATTAAATGTTAGATCAATCTAACGTTTTAACAAAACAAATATTTTTATTTGGATGATAAAACATAACAGATATTCAAGAGTTGCAAAACGTGTGGAGGCAAAGGAGCTATAGAGTGCCCTGGTTGCAAGGTACAACAAAATCATTGCACATCTGTATTTCTTTTTAAACTTTGGATACGCACTTGAAGAAATCATTATGACTGCATATATACATGGTAGCTGTCATGAATTCTTTTAAAAAAACCGAAAACCAAATCTTTCAAAAACGTATAATACATGATGAGACTGTATTTATGCATTGGGATTCAGGGGAGCGGAAAGAATAAGAAGAATGGGAATGTGTTTGAGAGATGGAAGTAAGTTTGGACGGATACCAATTTTAAATATGCAATTTCCATGAACTTATTTAGATAACCACTCGATTATGCAATTTTGTTTTTTAAAGATGTTTTGAGTGCCAAGGATTTGGAATGAAGAGTTGCCCCAAATGCGGGAAGGGAGGGTTGACGCCTGAGCAGAGAGGAGAGAGGTAAAACACAAGAGCCAATTAAACACACTTCATAAACATAATGTGATCCAATAGTTGTGTTTAAGCAAAGAATCAAAGAGAGAGCGAACATGGGCTTCATGGTCTGAATGAAAGGAGCAAATCTTGCATGTATGTGATTAAATGGGTCGTTTGGGTCTCATTGTAATTCAGTTGATAAATGGGCCATGCTCCCTTACAAAAGAGTCACAGTGGAATGAGCTTGAAGCCCATAAGTGGCATTAAACAAAGACGAGGCGTCAAAGAAACAACATGAAAGCCCACTTTATCAAACAGAGAATGACAACGACGCCCACTTAGGAGAATCACATGAAACCAAGGAACCACAAGGGGTTTCCACTTCCAGCCCAACGAATCTGGGCAAGGGAAAGCCTCAATCGCAACACAGACAGGGCAAGGGAAGGGAGACCCGAGACACGCCTGACCACATGCACTTGCTGTTTCTTATCCCACTCAATTATTATTATCTTTGTGAATTCCCGGTGGAATCTGTTCGAACACCAAAACATGTTGATGAAAAAGTTGAATCTTTTTTTTTTTTAAACATATATGATCCCTTTAAGGTAAAAAGAGTTAAGAGAGGAGTTTGAACATGAGGAGGCGGCGTTTACGACCGAGCCAAGTGGAGAACCATGGAGGATCAGCCTCTATAACTCTGTAGCCGGCATTTGCGTAGAGCTTCCTAGCCGCTCTGTCGTCTTCGTATGCCCTCAGAGCCATTAGCTTCATTCCCCACTTTTCCCTTACCACGTCGCATCCCTTCAACAATGTGCTCCCCACTTTCCTCCTCCTGTCCCAACAAGAGAGAATTACTTCCTTTTTTCTCCTTCTTGGTATTGACTATTGAGTGGTGGAGAAATGATACCTTTGAGATTTGGAGACGGCGAGTCCCGACACGTAAAGATACTCATCCACGTCCGGAAAATGCCGAAGCACAGAGGCGTCTCTCATGGCAGTCACGTCCACTACTCCCACGATCCCTCTGCCTGAATCCGAGCCTTCACTCTCATCCCTCTCCGCCTCTGCCACCAGACATGCATATCTGCTCACATACGTCAGTTTCGACTTAATAATGATCAAGGAGTCCACATCTCAGAGCGTTTGCCGTTTAGACATGTTCCATAAACGCTTAATCACACAATCACCCATTTTTATGTTGGATGTAGATCAACAATGTTAAGAAGATGACTCTTAATTTACCTGTCAGGAGGTGAATTCTTGAGTTTGTAGAGAAGCACAGAAAGAACTTCTGCCTGCAAATTTATGATCCATCATCCACAACACATGTTTATAAAGAATCCAGAAATTACTAGGTTCCTTCAAATTTTAACAAAAAGCTAAAAGAGAACCTGGAAGAAAAGGAAGAAGAAATCGTCGAAGAGAGCGACCGGGTTGTGGAAAGCCTCTGCCTGAACCAGAGACACCTTCCTCATCTCTTCTTCGTCCTCCTTCGCCAGCCTCCTCACGCCCCATCCGTGTTCACTCACCACATATCTCAAATCTGTCTCCGCACTCCGAGTCAGACCCGTCACTGACTCGGTCGACAAGCACTTTCCGATCACCGGCGATCTCCTCCTCTTCGGAAACAGTTGATAAGTTCCGGCGACCCTGTACGGATATGGAAACTCTGGTGGCAGCGGTTTAGAGAAACTCTGTGGCAGGTAAGTGGCCATTCTATTTCAGATCATTTCTTTTAAAATAAAATATAAATAATTTTCATGCAACGAAGAATTGTTTCCGCAAAAGATACGCCCATGTACTTTATCACATTTTCTTCTTCGGTGGCTGTGAACCATAGTTTATGTTCGCCACGTGGACAGATATCAGCCTAACACGTGGAATTCATTGACTGCATCTACAAGCATTGAATAAATTGGGGCCGTGCATGATAATGGGCCTGGCCCAAATACAATATGGCACGTGTTGTATAATCCCATGGATTCGCACGTGCGATACACTCTCTCTCTCCATCGCATATTATTGGTTCGAGAAGCGCCTTCCATCAAATCGGAGTCGTCGCGCTTTGCTGCAGTTTATCGAGCCCTTTTGATCATGGCGTTGAACACCGGACTCAGATCTGTCTCGCGGATCTTAGCTTCTCCTGTATCACCCATCTCCAGATCTGGTCGGTATTGTTTTGCTCGCGGCTTTGTGTTTTCCCCTTGATTCCAATTTAGGGTTGTTTGGCTGCCGAGAATGTGCTGATCATCTCTTCCATGAATTCATTTTTTTCTCACGTTTGGTACCCGTTTTGTAAGCTAATGCTTGTTGTCATGATTGGGGTTTCGGCATATCTTATTTGTTTCCGAGCCTGAAAGTCTGATGGTTTGTTGTCGAATCGATTGCTTATTGGTTGGTTATCTCATCCAACATAAATCTTCGCGTTTGATTCTGTTTTTCGGACATTCTTACTTCTAAACGTGTGATTTAGGGTAATGATTTATTGTCTTCAATGTGTCTCAGCGACATTTCAAGTTGCTCCTGTAGAGCCAATGGATTAAAAGTGACATAGTTATCAACTACTCCTATGATCGTTGTCCTTTTCTTGTTATGTAATACCAAATTTCGTCTTGTAGGCTTGTGTTAGTTGTACGTCTAAGGCATGAATATCCATATATCATTGATATGTACTATATGTCATGGACATTATATCTGTGATTCTGTATGATAATCATGGATAATGTATGTATGACTGGGAAGAATGAATTACCTTTTGGGTGTTTCCAGTTTCTCAAACATACTTGCACGCAAGAATGTGTTACTAGCTGTTTTTCACCGGCGACAGTGAAATTTGATCTTTCGGCCACCATTGCTTCCTGTCAATTGCTACTAGACATTCAAAGACACCAGGCCTGTGTGGAATATATTGCCAATGTCATGTGCTTGCAGTAAAATTCAAGAACTATAGTCCATGTTTTTTAGATATGTTTCTGAAGACTGTCATGTGAATTGCTAGTTCATGTCATGGATCATGCATATGCACATTGTGTCTTCCTTCGTGAACCCGTTTGTGCAAAAGGAAACCTAGTTAAAGTAACTGTTTGAAATGTTGTGGGTGTTGATACCTCATTGTGATGGCTGGATTATGGTTATTGATCAATAAGAGCTTGAGCGTGATATCAATTCTGTTGCTACTAGGCGTTTGAAAGCTCTGGATATATGCACAATGTGTAGTGACTTGTGAGTATTAAATGTGGATATAACATGCATTTAGCCATAAATCTCAGGAGTTAGATTCTGATCATTGTGATGTCATTTGTTAAAATCCTCATGTGTAATGAGTTTTGATACCGTTCATCACCATCAATGCTAATGTTGCATTGTTGTATCTGATGGGACTGAAACATTTTATTTTCATTTTTCATATCTGAAGCACTTGGGATTAACGCGATGTTGTTGTTGTTGTATAATTGAAGCAGTTGGCAGAAACTTCCATTCAACAGGAGTGAAGAGGATGGGGGGAGGACATGGGCATGATGAGCCATACTACCTTCATGCGAAGCATATGTACAACTTAGACAGGATGAAGCATCAGGGCCTCAAGATGTCTCTCGCTGTTTTCACGGCTTTCAGCATCGGTGTGGCAGTTCCTGTCTATGCTGTCATCTTCCAGCAGAAGAAGACTGCCTCTGCTTGATCCCCTGAATCTGATATTATTACAGCATCTCCTCTTGGGTTGGAATAATATGTATGAACTCCTAAACAATTTGCTTTCCGGATCATAGCTACCAATCGTTTTTCTGGTTTTCTACTTCCTCAGTTACTGGCTCTCTGTTTTCTGTCAGAATATTGGTCCTTTTGTTATGGGGAATTCCCTCTTCTTTTTATGTGGAAAAGAAAAGATCAGCAGCGTGGGTGTTGTAAACAAAGTAGCTTCATGTGGTGATAGTTCTGTGCTTAGCTTTTAGTTTGTTAGTATATTAAAGCGGGTAAAGCGGGAGGATTGCTCTTTTAACAATTCCATAAGAGATTATTACATTGTCATCACTGTCTCAAATAAAGGAGAATAATACTGTCATCAATTCATTACAACCCAACCGCATTTAACATTCCATTCTTCACCTCTTTTTTTTTTGTTCTAAATCATAGTTTGATGTGTTTTATATTAATATCAAAAGAAAACCCAAGGAAACTTTTGTTTCTTACAAATCTCACCAAACCCTTGAATGATTCCACATATATTCACATCTTCACCAAAACACACAAAAAAAGGGGGGGAAAAAACGAAACAACTAAATCCACGTAACACACAAAAAAGCTGGATTAAGGAGGAAGTGCACCCAAGCGCAGGGCGCAGAGGCATCCGTCACTGGTTGTGAATCACCCAATCACGCCTTCCAACCACCAACCGCAACCCAATCTACCGACCGAAACCCCAAATTCTGTCACTAACTGCTATTGGAGTCCCCATTTGTGTCTACCTGCGTCTACTGACCTCAATCGCAATCGCCAAAACATGTTGAGTATAATTTATAATCAGGAATTATCAGTAGCGTTTCCATCACCACCGCTCTCACCGCGTTGCGTTTGGTGTTGCTGCTGTTGATGCTGATCCAGAGTCATCGCCAAACCGCCCCTACCGCCGCCGATTGCCGCCATGTTGCTCTCCGTCACTCCCAACCCTAGCTGTTGACCCCCAATTGACATCATCGACCCTGCCCGACCCGAACCCGAGTAATGACCCGCATCGAACGCCCACATATGCTGCTGCTGCTGCTGCTCCTGCACCGCTCCCCCTCCACTCCCTCCCATCGGAAGCATCCAGAACGTGCCACCGCCGTTCGTGGTCGCCGGAGCCACCGCCCACATTGGCTGCGGCATGAAATTTGCCGTCGCACGCCCCTGACCCGTCTCCGGCTCCTGGGTCCGACCCGTTTTGGGTGAGCTCCCGCTTGGGTCCGCGGCGACGCTCGATTCCTTGAAGAGGTCTTCCCTGTATGGTTTTGTCAAATCGGTCATATTTCTCATGGAAGCGTCTGAGAGAATTGGCGGGTAAATCTGGTGGTGGAAGCCGAACACGGTAGCGTTCTGGGCCGCTGCGTTTAGTAACTTTCTAGAAGCATCCACCGCCGCGACCGATGAGCCGTTAGTGGCGTTGAGGTCGTCGTAGAGAGACAATCCAGCGCTATGGAAGGAGAGTGGGGCGGATTTCGACGGCGACGCGGAGATCGTGGTGCCACTGCTGCGGAGGGAGACGCTGAGTGTGGAGAAATTCGCCGGGATGGTTCCGGTGCCGGTGGCGGCGATGATTGCGGGCTCCGCCTGCTGGAGAAGCCACTCGATTGTCTCTCCGTCGGATTTGTGCCCTAATTCCCTCGTGAGCTGAAACACCCTCGCCGCGCACATGGCCGGCATGCGGATTCTCCGTCCCCTGCCGTCGACTTTGGTGTGTCTGTCCTTGGATGGCTTCTTGGCAGCCGATTTGACGACTGTCAGAGAGCCGCCGGAGCTCGTATTGGTGGAACTCGAAGTGGTGGATGTGGAAACGGCGGAGGAGGCGGCGGCGACGTTTTGGCCGGAGACGGAGCCCATGAAGGACACTAGTGATCGCTGCGGTGGTAGGTTTTCGGCGGAGCTCAGGTGCAGCGCCGCCGTCGCCGTGCCAGCTTCCTGTTTCCGACCATGGAGATTCTGATCATTACGCGATTCCATCTCCTTCTCCCGGTGACCCTTCACTTAAAATCCAAAAAAAAAAAACCCTCTGTTTAATCAAAACACGCTCGGGTCCGACTCGTAACACAAAATTCCCCAGAAATTTCCGGGAAACGCCAAGAAACTCCGAGAAAACGACGGAAGATTCGGAAAAGGCAAAGAAGATGAGACGTAGTGCGAGGAGACTCTCGAGCAGGTGCTACAGATATCGCCTTCCAAAGGAGAAGAGAGAGATTGATTGATCGAGGGAAACAAGTGGATGTGCTGTAATGGCTGGAGCGAAGTATCCATCTATCCATCCATCAGCTCAGCATTATTGTCACTGTTGGTACAATCAATCAATCAGTAATTGCTACATCCACTCCTCTCTGTTTTTTGCTACTTCCAGGGCACCTTTAGTGAAATTAAAATAATAATCCGCTCCCTCCTTTTGGCGTTTGAATTCAAACATTGTGGAATTTTGGCATCCAACGTTTACACTTGTATTTGTTTGTCGGTCATGTTTGAATATATAGGAATCATGTTCTATCATTTGTATACCCTCTCTATATTATGGATTGGATCAAGTACGACATGTTATTATAATCAGTTAATTTCAAACGGGTTTACTAATCCACTCACGCGATTAAATATTCAAAGCAAAATCATTATGAGTTTACATAAAATCTGTAGAAAGATATTTTGCCAAGATCATGGGTACTAGACTAGTTCTTTTTAAAACAAGGACAGAGAGGCCTATGCTGGTTGACCCACCCCACTCAACCCGCCTTGTACTAATTAAATGCTAATCAGTGATTGAATTCATCACAAGTAAAGTAGGTATCATATCGTGAAAAACCCTTTCTAATCCTTAGCCTTTCTAGTATAATAAAGAGCACATCCGATCAAGTGTTTTTTTTTGTAAGCAACATGAATTGACCAGAAAATAAATTGGATACACTATCATCACAGGTGACAGTTTTGAAGTGAAATACTAGTTGTACAAATGACAGTTTTGCTGTATAAATCTAACATCATTACATGCGATTCCCCTCCTCTCAAGCGCGGGCCTTCCTCCCGCCTCTTCTGCTAACGTCTTCACACAACCTACAAGGCAATGTATCAAGACTCAGGGCACGAGCCCCCCCGTAGTTTCCCAGCAGGCCGCATCTCCTCCAAGCGTGGTACTCCGCATATGCCACCGGATCATCCCCCACCCGCTTCACGTACTCTGCAAGCTCTTCCATCGTTCTGAACTTTGTTCCATCGATCACTGAATGTGGCGGCACAAAGTCCTCGGCATTTGGTGCCCCAAAGTAGATAGGGACTGCGCCCGAGTCAAGCGCATAGAACAGCTTCTCTGTCACGTATGAATCTGTGGCTGTGTTCTCAATCGCCAGGACGAATTTGTAGTGTGACATGGCGCAGTGGAGGTGGTCGTACCATTTTGGCTCGGCATTGGATTCAGCGATACACTCCGGGTACATGGATAGAGCTGCGTCCGAGCCACCGACATTGTTTAGGCACTTTCCAAAGGAGTGGTGTGGAAGCAGATCGAGGAGGCTCTTGGCGAGTTTGTCCCTGTGAGCGAGGCATCTCGAAGAAGACCAATACACAAGAACATCCTGCTACCCAGAAAATTATGGGGGATATTAAAATTTCCATTTGGATCGATCTATGCGTGAAAAAAAAAAGTTTCTTTGGGACTCATGGAGCATAAGACAAAGAGGGTTCTAGAAAGGTTATTCATCAGCCTGAACTACATATATAAGATGGAAATTCAAGGTCATCAACTTTTTGGATGTTGTTGAAAATACTGGGAAAGAATGTGCTTAGAAAGTGAGTTAGGTGTAATTTCCGAATTTTATGATGAATGAAATTGGAAAGAAACAAAGAAACGTATTAAGATGGAGAAGATTAAGGAGGAGTTACACTGTTTTTGTGAGGAGAAACATGATAGTTCCGGTTATTGTGAAAGAGGGCACCAGCATAAGTCGACTGGACATCGTCTTCGGCATGGTAGCTGATGAATATATCTTCACGGCCTGACCGTCTCCTTCCAGCCTCAAGGTCCATGTACACCCGAAGTGGATCTCCAATGCGTCTCTAAACAAACGAACGCAAAAAGAGAAAGAAAGAAAAAACCCCTCAACAAGCAGTCTAAAGTGCTGATAATACACAAGTTTCAGAGAGTAAGCTCTAAAATAACAGATGGGACAATACAAGGTTACACTCCCATGCGAGCGAACAGAGAAAGAGCATAACACTGCCTTTCTAACGACTCAATCAACGATTGAGGAAACAGTTGGACCGAGTATCAAGAGATCACAATAGAAATGCTGATACAAGTATGCATTTTGCTTGTTTCAGAATAACCATGTCCATCACAGATTATGCAAAAACATGTCGAATTCCCATTTGGTCAAACGTTAAAATCGAAAAACTTGTTATCTGATCAGAAGAACTCATGTAAAACATGGATTGAAGAAGTCATGGACCGGAACAAGAAACAACAGTCATCCTTTGGAAGGCTAAGCAACGGGAACAATAAAAAAAATAATAGTATAAAATCCTCAGGTTCATAGTCAAATTCTCACCTGTAGTATAGAACGAAGCAAAGGAGCATTTACACAAGAACACAGACTTCTTCGACCATTGTATCTTCTAGCCGACGAAACGACAAGGGCTATCAAGAAGAGACGGTAAACAGGACCATATACCTCAAATCAAACGCTCTAAGCTAAAGGCATGGATCACTGACCAAACCTTTTGAAATGCAATCCTGCAGACTAACCCCAGAATTATACTGTATAAGATCAAATCGGCCAGAGATATTGATTCTAAAAGTTAACTAGCATAGATAGTATCATCACGTCAAATTCGGGGTAGAAAAGGGAAAGGTATTTGATTGCCGTGATCATCCAACCCTATAACCATTTCCCAACAACTGCATGCACAGCGAACATGTTCACCAAAAGAAGAAATCACCACAAACAAGAACAGCGTTACCTGAAGCGGAGGTGTTGTTGTCTCGAACAACAGAGCATCAGGTTTATCCACCATGACAGGTGACTTGGTCCACAAACAGGTCATCCCACATCGACAAGAGTACAAATTCTCCAAATTATCTGGGATCCAAGTCCATCCTTTCACCAAAACCCTGACGTGGTCCATCTTTAGCTTATTGCAACCCGATCCACCACCGGATTCCTGAAGAGAACCCGAACTGACATTGACCCGGATCAACACCCTGTGCTTCTCCCTGAACCGAGCACAACCCACTTGCGAGTCCCATTGACTGAAAGCCCCGAAAATATCAGTGAAGGAATTGTTTCCTACATCTTCTGAATCAGGCAGATTCGGATCCGGGTCGATCGGTTGCCGGATCGACGTGGACACAGACGGGAATTCTAGAACGCCAGAGAAGGAGAGGATCAGGAGAGTGAAGAACATCATCAGCAATGCAGCCATGGCGTTGAGGTATTTCAATGGCATGTTGTTCGGGATCAGAAAACCCTCGAATCGGAGCCTCTTCGCCGGAGGGAGAGGCCGGTGAATGGTGGGAGATTTTTTTCATCAACTCGGCGAAAGCAAACTCCGTTTGGGTCTCCTACCGACTGTTGAAATTTAAAATCCTAAAACGATGTCGTTCAACGCTCGAGCGTCTAGATAAGCCCATGGGCCGGACAATCGCATTGATTTTGTGTTTTTAACCCGACCCGGCCTGCAAACTCCCTGGGTCAGGCATTGCAGTAAATGGCCTTAGACGAAAAAACGCCATGGACGAGTCGGGGGAAAAATCATGAGATTGTCTCTGCCTCTTAATACTGTTATAAACCTCAGAAACCCTCTCCCTCTATTATCCCGCCATTGTAGCTTGGGTCGTAGACCACTCGTCTCCTTTCGCAACTTCTCGATTCTCTCTGTCGCTGCTGCTCCTCGGCATCTGCATTGTTATTGGCCCCCGGCGACTATGACGGCGGGGAAGGTGATGTCGACGACGACTGTAGAAGGAGAGAAGAAGCAGCCGCCGGTTTCTGTCGAGGTGAAGGATAGGATCGACCTTACCGAGACGGAGCGAAAGATATTCGACCGGCTTCTGGCAACGGCTCGCTATTTCAATTTTGACACGCAGCTTCGTGTCGCCGGTGGGTGGGTGCGCGATAAGGTACTCTCTTTCACTTTCCGGAAATTGACATAAGGTTGTCTGAGGATTAGGCGAAGTTTCTGCTGTTCGATTGCGTGAAGATTGACTTTCTAGATAGAAGGGTCGACGAAACTCGATATAGTGAATTGTTAGAATTTTGAACTCGCCTGGTAAAGGCTGAAACTTTTTTGGATTGCGATTAGGTCGTAACTCTACTAGTATTTGTTGTCCACGAAGTAAGATCAGGTTTGCGTCTTTGTCTTGCTTGTGTTCGTATTTGATCTCGTCGGAACTTCCCTTTTCCTTGTACTGCAAAACTTTGGAGGATTTTTCATTCGATTGTTCTGTTTGATATTGTTGAAATCTTAATCTGGCAAAGATGGTCTGAGAATTTTCTTGTCTTTCTCTTTCCTGCTCTGTTTGGTTATAGCTGTTATCTTTGGTTTCAGCTGCTAGGCAAAGATTGCGACGACATCGACATTGCCATTGACAACATGCTTGGAAGTGAATTCCTGGATAAGGTCTGCCTTTATCTGTCTTCTACAGGGGAAACAGTACAGGGGAAGGCGGTTATTGAAAGGTCCTGAATTTATTGACTTTCCCTTCCTAATGCTTCAACACAACTTTGGTTCATACCCATTATTGTTGTTTTCATTAGGATGTTGACGTTTTCTTTGATGGTTGTAGAAACCCTGAACAATCCAAACATTTGGAAACTGCAAGGATGCGCCTTTTTGATCTGTGGATAGATTTTGTCAATTTGAGATGTGAGGAATACACAGAAAATAGTCGGATTCCTGTCATGGTACAATATCTTATTCTTTTTATTTTCAGTTTTACATATTTATATTCTTCAAATGCATTACATGGAGCTTTTCTCAGTTATTTCAACAGTATAATACATATCCTGGATTGCTGTAGAATTTCTTAATTGCTAGTGGTTTGAGTTCAAAACTTTTAATATCTTCGTGTGTCTTGGTTTAGAAATTTGGATCTGCCAAAGAGGATGCTTATAGGAGAGATTTAACTATAAATAGGTAATTATTTTCATCAAGAGCAAGAAGCATTGTAAACGCTTCGACTGCATATCACTCTAGACAAACTGTGACATTTGTTCGGATGACTTTCATTTTGGCAGCCTGTTCTACAACATTAACACTGGCTTGATAGAAGATTTTACAGAAAGAGGTCAGTGCATCCTAGTCTTACCAACATTCCCCTCCTGTAGTTTTGAAACTGATAGGTAACACAAATGATGAATAACAGGCATTGACGACCTCGAATCCGGAAGAATTGTGACTCCATTGCCTGCGAGAGCTACATTTCTGGATGATCCCTTGCGAGTTCTTCGAGCTATTCGCTTTGGTAATTGCTTCCATTCTTCTTCTGTCATTCTTTGGCCTTATCGATGCTTTGTTTGACTTATCTCTGATTGTTTGCTTCTTGTTTCTTAATTTTGGCTAATCTATTGCCGAAAAAGGTGCCAGGTTTGGTTTCGCCCTGGACAAAGAGCTAAAAGAAGCTGCTTCAAGTGAAGAAGTCAAGATAGCTCTTGGACAGAAGATTAGCAGAGAGCGGATTGGCCATGAAGTATGTTTTTGCTATTTGGATTTTGTTCATCTCTCTAGCAATTTTATCTTGCTTAGGGCTTATCCTTACCCATCTATCGGTTCTTTGTTGCAGATTGATTTGATGATATCCGGCAATCGACCAGTTGCAGCGGCAACTTACATTCACGATTTGAAATTATTTTTTGTTGTATTTGCTCTTCCATCTTCGCCTGACCCTGCACCACTGGAGAATTGTGAGAAGTATATTTCATCTCAATTCTAAACGGTTTAGCAAATATGGTTTGGGATATTCTGTTCACTCGTTTCATATGCTAAAATCACTTGCATGTTTTGTTAATTAGCCTCTGCCTAGCTGGCGTGGATGGGTCATGGAAACTCATTCAATCAATTGGGTACAGCAAATTCAGTGTGAGTCAACGATGCATGGCCATTGGTTCTTGTTTAGCATCTACACGCTGATTGCTTTTCATTTTGAATTGAAATTAGACTCTGATTTGTCTCAATCGTTTGATTTCAGAATGAACAAAGAAGGCTTGCTCTGTATGCTGCTCTGTTTCTCCCATTTAGGAAAACTTTCTACAAGGATAGTAAAGGCAAAAGGGTACTGTAGTTCCTTTCCTTATGTATTTGGTGCTCTTGTGTCTTTTCTGCAATTAGCTGAATATGAATTCAGTTTCTAAATATAGAAACATGTCCCCTGTTTCAGATTCCTGTTGTCAACCACATTTTCAAAGACTCTCTGAAGCTGAAAACCAGCGACTCCGAAACAGTGAGTTCTTTTTATCTATGTCCCGTGCCGAAAGCCTTCACTGGACTAGGCTAGCTGCTGGCCAGCGACTGCAGTTCGGGTATTTGACTAATGTTCAAAACGGACAGCCAAACAAAAAAACAAACAGCAACAGCAAACTGATGGCAAAATCAAGAGAGGACATTAGATGTGTTCTAATATATGTTTTGTTATTTTTTTTTCAAATTAATCAAACCAAACCAACGGTTTATTAAGTGATGAAATAGCCCAAAGGCAAAGTTGTGTTAGCTCAGGACTGAAGTGTTTCCTGCCATGCCTTTTATTGAATAACCGACTCCGTTTTCTGCAGGTTATCAACATACACCGTGCTGCGGAGAGATTCCTAAAGTTGATTCCTTCCCTTCAGTTGAAGAAGGATGTACGATTAGACGAACTCGACTGGGCAGTCGATGTTCTTGAACACTGGAAATCAATCTCTCTACACGATCCAGAGCTCCCAGAGACCTCAAAAGTGAGAGTACTCACAGGTACTTCTCCACTGCCATTTTGAATCCTACTAATAGCCTAATTAATACTCGGCCTTTTGCTATGCCTAATATCATTGTATCGATTTCAGGGTTTGTCCTCAGAGAAATTAAAGATTTCTGGCGTGTCTCCCTTGTGACATCCTTGCTGTTGCATACCGAAGATAGAAGGGCTGCAGATATGGACATCCAGCTGGACGAGAAACGGGAAATGTATCTAACGATTCAGGACACAATTCTTGAGCTTGGTAAGTGTGACTAGAAAAGATGAAAGGAATAAGCCTTTTGTTTTTTTTTTAAATGGATAGCCTGTGATGGCTGCATACAGGTCTTGAGAAAATTTGGGACGTAAAACCGCTGGTGAATGGGAAGGAGATCATGAACGTTCTTCAACTTAAATCTGGAGGGCCTCTCATCCGTGAATGGGTCATAGTCTTCTCCTTTTACACTTGCTTGTGAATTTCGTACTTGCGTTTGTTTTGCTCAATAACTTTTATTGTGTGGTTTTGCAGCAGCAGAAATTGGTCACATGGCAGCTGGCCTACCCCAGTGGCAAAGCAGACGAATGCATCGATTGGATGAAAGAAACAAATGCAAAACGGATACGGACAGAGTGATTCCCTATTTGGAATGGCAGTCAACTTTGTTAATTTGTATAACCCCCCGATGTCCGAAACTGTTAGCATACGAGGACTCTATTTAAGCAGTTTTTGTTTGTGAGCTGTAGAATCAAACATACAACCAAATGTTCTTTGTCAGGTTTTCGTGTGAATATATTTGCCAATTTCGTTGCACACACGGCCCTGCAAAAGTAATCGAATTTCTATGTTTTGAAGTATGTATATCATCTCTCACGCAGCTCAAGTTTTCTACTCGGATCCGAAGGTGTGTGGTTTGGGCGTAAAATCTACAAAATAAGATATCAAATAAAATCTCAACCAAACATCTGTCATGAACACACTCGCTTCACCCTATACATATGTATCCCAAGAACTCATAACAGATCTAGCAGTCTGTAAGCGAGTGAGCCGAGTTGAACGGAGAGAACGTCCCTGCTGATTCGCTGCAATGCAGAGGACGAAACCGATGGTTTGAAGACCCGATATATAACCCCGGTGATGGATTAACGGGACTAGGCGACATGTATCTCGAGTTGAGAGGCGATGTGGCCGGGAAACCCAGTGAGTTTGGTGAGGCCATACGAGACATCGTGTATGATCTCTGCGATTGCGATGGTGACACCTGTTGCCTGAGATCCACAGAGCTCCGGCTCATATTTATAGGAGGAGATGACCTGAATGAATGCTGGATGATGTAGGATGAGCCCGCTTGCCCGGGAGAGAAAGAAACAGAGGATGGCAATGATCCGATATGCAGTGCAGATGACATTGGAATTGAGGATCTAAAGGACGAGAGAACTGATGAGGAAGCAGCAGGTGAGAGCAGAGGTGTGCTCTCTGACGCAGGTGGCTCTCCTGTGCTTGTTCTCGCATCCCTTTTGCACACTGGGCAGAAGGTTCTCCACGACGTCAGCCATGTGTCAACACACATTGCGTGAAACTCTGAAACAACAATCATCACTTGTTTGTAACAGTTTTCACAATTCAAGGATTCGGGATGGTGAATTCGATTAACTCACTGTGACGGCAAGGTAAGACCCTTAGTTTTTCCCCGACGCTGTAGTCCTCGAGGCAGATGGCGCAAGAGGTTGCAGTAGTGTTGCCTTCATGTACAGAAGTGAATACAAGACTAGGCATTGCTTTCACCAAGCGTCGGCTCATCCCATGGAACTCACGGACACGGGAAGACCGAGATGTCCGGCGCCTTATACGATGCCTCCGGACAAAGAAACAAGTCGCCAGCACAGCAGACATAGCAAGCAGTGATATGAAAGAGATGGCCATTATCGACCATGCCGAGTTCTCAAAGCTTGAGATCAACCAGACTTTTGTATTGGGTAAACCAGCATACTTCTTAAGTGTTTCTCCCGATGCTTTTGAGACAAAAACCGCATGTATCTTAATACCACCTGAATTACCTGCCACTGAAATCTCGATATTTCAGTGAAAATGATTAAGACAAAAAAATGAGAAGGTGAAACTTGTGGGTAAGAAGAAGAAGAAGAAGAGTTACTTGAGATCAAGGCGCCACTGTCTTCATTGTTATAGACAACGGCAGCTTTAAAACCAGCTCTCTGTGCCTTTCTGACTTTATCCTCGAAGCTGCAGCCACCTCTTATTATCAACACAAAAGGGGAAGTACCATTTGAGCCATTCTCGGGCCCATTGCTCAGATCCTTGCACGCGTCCAGTGGCTCGGCTATGTAAAGTTCTCCCATTTCTCCCGAGTCCTTGATTGCCATAGCTGAAACACATCATTGTCATCATCATCATCCGCAAATTTAACTAAAAATAGTCCCTGCAATAGTCGGAAAACTGATTGAAAAATCTTCTGTTCCAACGCACATATGGATCAGTTTTCATGAAGCCTTAATCATTGGACCTCAAACACAGTGTTTTGATCCAAAATCACCAAATTCAAAGAGTTATACTCACTTGAATTCAACGGGAAGCCATTTGAAACTCAACAAGACCATTTATTCAAAGTAAAGTTGCCAGATAAAAAAAAAACAATCCAAGAGCTCAAGGGACATAATATCCACCACAAACTATCACATGGATGAAACAAAAGGCACGAAGGAAGCTCCAAAATTCAAAAACCAAGACTAAATTTCAAGGGCATCTGAGCATAAACAACTATGAGTCGTCACGGTTCAATCATCTGATAAAATGAACTTCCGTTTTCTCAGCAATCCTCTACTTCCATAGCTGCAAACAACCGACGAATAGATCGAATTGAACAAAAAAAATCACCAAAATTAGCTTCGATGTCGTCGAAAGAGCGAGTGATGTTGTTCCCCATCAGAACCACTTTGCCTGACGATACACAACAAACAGCCAAAAGGTGTAATAGTAGGACCAGAGCACGATTCATCGTCCCTTTCTTCCCAAATCGAACAAGAACAACTGAAACTCAGCAATTGGCGTGTTAGGGTATTCCGACAATAGACACGTCAGCTTCCATCTAGATCGAAAGTTTAAAATTTAATAGAAAGAAATAAATCAAACCCAGAAATATTATCCTCGGATATGATAATGGGTATTCGAAATTCAGGATCTTTTTCCGGATTTATTAGGGTACTCGAACCGAATTGACGAGAGAGAGCGATAGAGAGAGAGACGGAGGGAGTGACAGATGAGCCAAAAGAGAGAAAACGGGACGTTTGGCTAAAATTGTCTCGTCTCGATCAGATGATTTTGTGAAACCGTTGGTTGATCTATTTGTTTATGATACTTTACAAAGAAAAATGTATTTTCTTTTTTTCTAATTTCTGCTGATTAATTTGCAGCTTTGGAAGAAATTCTATCATAGAGAACTTTCATTTTCTAATGGGAAAATAAACGGTCCACCTTGTTGTAAATAATCTTTGTACTCTCTCTCTAGATAAGCCTTATCTGTTCATCTCCATTAGACAACGCGAACGTGATTGGTCACCGGAACTATATCAATATATAAGTATTTGTTAAAACCCAAAACAAAACATCTCGTAGTTTCAAATATAAAGCGGTTAGTGAAATTATCAAATCATTTGAACTTCGTTAAATATCAAAACATAACAATTAGGGTTCTTCCGCAGATGATTGTGTGTTTGGTTGCTCCTGATCTGATCTGATGTCATAATGACATTGTCATTGCCTCGTGTTTTTTTTTGTAGATATTGATCCTCTACTTTCCAATTGTTTAGTCGTAAAAATATCTCCTTGATATCATCTCCGTATCTATTGTCTTGGGCCATTGCCTTTTATTTTAAAAGCCCATTTGTAGTATGGTCCTTCTGTTCTGTTCTGTTCACCTTCAATATTTTTCAGAAATTTGTGGCCCATATTTCTATAGATTTCGACCTTTTATAAAAGTGAAATAAGCCCATTAATTACGCGATGATCATATTACAAATATAAATGGGCTTTTTAACTAAAAGGCAATGAGTAATGCAAAGTATCAACGGACATATATATATATATATAAGTTTGTTATAAAAATAAGGAGAAAATCCCTAACAAACCTCAAACTTGTAAAAAAAATATACAAATAAACTTTTAACTTGTAAAACTATCATTTAAACCTCAAATTTGCAATATATAACTGAATAAAACCTCAAATTTGTGAATTGTTGATTTAATAACTCGTTGACTGGTTTGACCACAATTTCAGGTGATCGAAAATCTATGTTGGTCTGGAAAGTTGATATCAGCGTATCCACGTAATCAATTTTAAATGATTTTTTGCTCCAAAATCATACTTATTTATTCTCAAACCGGATTAAATTTCGACCCAAAAAATATTGATGTAACAAAAAATCAGTTAAAGTGGTTACATAGATACGCTAATATCAGTTTTCGGAGCCAATGTGAATTTTTAATCGTTTGAAATCGTGGTCAAATCGGTCAACAGGTTATTAGAATAATAATTTATAAGTTCAAAATTTTATTCAGTTACATATTGCAAGTTTGAGATTAAAATAACTATTTTACAAATTAAAAGTTTATTTGTATATTTTTTTACTAACAGTTTTTTTTAGGGTTTTTTTACTCAAAATAAAGTGACAAAAGGCAGTGTAATAGGGAACTGAGATAAGAGACATTATTGATGTCTTTAGTCTCAAGCAAACATTATTACTTTAAATACTTTTCAATTCACATCCCATCACTTCCACCGGTCCATGTTGTCGGGCCCCATATTCATTATTCATGTATTATATACACACGTCACATCATGCCCACATATATATACATACACCTACACATACAGTTTGTGTGTGTATATATATATATATTGTTAACTGTAATTTCGTATATGAACTCAAACTTTACAAAGTAGTGGATGCGTATACACACTAATAGACACAATCAAGCATGCATGCTGGGAGTAGAATATTAGGATTTTGGATTTAAATCCAATGGAGATGAATGAGTAGTAATTGTTACTATTATTAAGCGCGTCAATGACGGTAACCAACGCCTCAATCCCCTAATCTTATATCTTTTAAGTGATTTGATGAGTCGATGGATGTCATTAACCTGATTTAATCCTACATATCCAGATGTTCTGACAATCGTCGTTCAAATTGATTGCGTTATCAGTTACACTTTGCCATATTCGTTTCTAGATTACGTGACGTGAATGATATATATAATTAAATATATTCGACTAGATGAGTTGTTTATAATGAAAAAGATTTTTTTTTCAAATTCGGAGTTTTTTATAGGAGTTTTTTTTTATAGATTCGGATGCTCTTGTTTGTCGGATATATACGAATATTGTATTATAAATAATCAATGTATTATATACGTAAATGATTGAAGCCAACATTTTAGCTGGCATGCTTCTTCACATGTCTCAAGACGTAATTATGATTTTGTTTACCTTTTTCTAACAATTAGAATATATTTAAACATTATTTAAAGGTTACGTGTTTGATGTTTAAACCTCATATACTTAGAAAGAGATGAAATTATATACAGCAAAAGAACAGATAAAATGTGACGATCAGATGACATAATATCTCAATGTGTATGTTAAACCAGGGATTTTGATAAGCCTTTTTAGCATGATTAAGACATTCTAACATATCATTATTTAATATTTATGGTTCATAATTAGTACATTAATTATTCAAGTCATCACATCATATAAGTTAGATGGCAGTGATATTACTAACACATCTGCCTACAAAATCCTTATACGAGCGTTTGCTAATTTAGTTATTTTATTTTTATAAGAGACACTCTATTAAATAATATATGCGTCTAGGTTGATATGGCAACTAACTTTCTAAGAAATCAGTCCAATAAATTCGTGCACGCACTCCACCTATACATCTCACACATATTTCAAATAAATAAATAGGGCAATTATTACTATGGACCCCGGAAAAATATTTCGCATCTTGTTCTCAATACCACATAACAGCTTTAACTATAAAAGTAAATGATGCGCCGGACACCCAGAGGAGAAAAAAAGAAACGAATATATCATTCAAATTAATTAAGAATAAGAGAATTTATAACCATTGTCTGCTGTTGGCAATTAAATTTATATTATAGATTTGATTCTGATTTTTTCAGTCGGAGGGTGATTTTGACAAAATTGTATTTGTCCAGTCCAATTACCATCAGTAGTATTTTTTATGATTATAATATCCAAGTTCTATTGTTTACATCAGCTAATTTATAACGTTGATGAGAGACATTTTATTTAAACGGTTTATCGGCAACAAATTTTTAACTATACGATTGGTTCCAGTTTTATTTTACAAGGTGCGAAAATAATTGAGAAGGGCGGTGTTCCCAAAATCAAAACGTTATATTAGATTTGGTAATTTACTAAAAGTAGCATAGCAAGAAACATGAACTAAAAACTCGTGCATAAATTAAATCACTTCAATTATATAGTTATGGTTTATTTTCTTTTTATTGTATTTGTACGAACAGCGATAATGGAAGAGAGAGAGCCAACTCTTTTGTCTCATCGAATTTAATTAATGCAATCTATAATTCATGCAAGTTCCCATACAAAAACAAATTTTCTATTCTGTATGTGATAAAAAAAAAAAAATCAAATAGGAGTGAGATCTTCCATGTATACGTATCAACAAGTTTTGTAATTAAATGCAAATGAAGGTATATAAATATTTCTACATAAACTAAATAATTATAAAAGCCTGTGGGAAATTTAAATGCTATTTATATATATAAGAGCTCATGAAGATTGACGAAATTTCTGTTGGTTGCAAATGCTCTACGCATACATAATTAATTTTAAAATCTTCATTTGTGGATATTGATAAATTTACATCAATTGAATCCGTCCAATTCAAATGATGCCTACGCCTATTGATGAATGGCTATTTGCCTATCAACATGTTGAAGTGCTCGTAAAGCAAACAACTACTCACACTTGCGACAACAAAAGCATTGACTGATTACATCATATACTGATTTGTCACACACAATTTTATATAGCAGATTGCATTTGTCGACACATCAAAGCTTAGCTTGCGCTCACATGGGATTAGATATCCCACATGCTGAAAAGGGCTGCGAAAAATATTACAAACTCATCAGAAAATATATCCACATTACGAGATACAAAGAAACAGTTTGCATGTGCATGTGTTTGCTTATGCATGTACATATATATATATATTTGCAAACCAGGCCATAAAACGATCATGATCTCATCCATACAATACATGCGTTCGTACATATATAAGGTTAATATACGGTTGTATTATACACAAGTTATCATTTATGTAATATAGATTACACGTATTTTCGGCGATCTCGGATCTAAATGATCGAAATATACAAACCGATAAAATGATACTTTATAAATAAAAAAACCTGGAAAGAACATATAAAAGAAAAAAAACAAACCAAACCAGGAAATTATAGCAATTAGAGGATTGGATCAAATCTGGGAACTCAGCCACGGCGACAATGAGGAAGATGATGGTAAGAAGAAGCTCCTGAAGACCTCGTCAGATGAACAATGGACTCCGAGACGGCACAAGTTCGTCTACAAGAACCGTATAGATCCACTAACCCGAATCTTTCCCCGACAATACCCTTCGACAAGGCCTTGCTCGATCCGCCATTCATTTTCCGACCGAACCTCCTCCGAGAATTCTCATCCACATCACCTTCGTCCTCGTCCTCACCCTCGTCTTCTTTAGAACACTCCACAAGGGCCGCCGTGAAGGGATCTTTCACCGGCGAATTAGTAATATTTTTCTTTCGCGAACTGGGATGACGATGTTTTCCGGTGGTCTGAAAGTAAAAACTCCGATGAGGAGGGAGAGGCAATAGATTGATGGGTTCGTTGTTCATGCGGCGGAGGTTTACGATATAAGGTTCCTTGGGTTTGCCGGGAAGTTGTTCCCAGGAGAAGGGAACGCCGAGGAGACGGAGAGGAGTCGCCGGAGAATTCAGGGGAGAGTCGCTGGGAAATACGACGGAGCTGGAGGAGCACGACGATATAGACGAGAATGTTCGTCGTCGCGTCGGCGCCGGTAAGTTGGCCGGGCCAGATCGTCGGGTCGGGTTTCCGGGAGGATCCATTTGGCCTTTCTGACTTCCTCTGCCCTATCCTTTTATACTTTGCTCGCTTCTTATTTTAAAGGATCATATTGTCGAGAAAAAACTTTGTATTTTTTACTCGCTATTCTTATTAAAAAGAAAATACAGCGAAACAAAGATTACATAGATCAAACAATAAAATATTTGCAGTTTATAGGTATAATTAAATAAATTTTATCAAAGTATATGGTATAAATATTTTTTGTAGTATTTTCATGGGAATGACATGTATGCAAAAACTTATGTTTTGCTCTTAAGTTTGAGGTTTCGTTTCATCTAAACCCGACATTTGATATATACACATATATATATATATATATATATATATATATATATATATATATATATAAAGGGTAAGAACGCCTAACTATCTATATATAAATGATATATATATATATATATATATAAAGGGTAAGAACGCCTAACTATCTATATCCAAATGTTTGGAATCAAATCATAGGTGAGAAATATAAACGTAAAACTTGTTGTTAAATTAAAACTTTTTGTTGTTTTACGTAGAAATAGTAATGACTCATAAAGACAAAAAATGGTGAGGTAAAAGAGTTACATAATAAAGAGAAATGATGAAATTTGTTAAGGGGGGAAACATAAAAGATAAATTAAATAAGATTAAAGAATGCGACAAAATCTAAAAGATTAAAGAGTCGGAATTAAATATGTATTTATCGTACGGAAGTTATCGTGTATTCTACTGGCCAGGAAGGCACAGATATTGGAGCATTACTATCATCTTACCGAGAGTATCAGATCTTGAAAATTGAAAGGTTATTTTGCTGTTATAATCAGCTTTTTGTACCACTTGCAAATGGGTTATCTATATTTTGTGTACGGTCGGATGTAAATTATTAAGTTTATATTAATAGAAATCACCGTTACCAAAAAAAAAAACATTTATCTGATCACATTTAGTTTTTTTTTTTGGTAGATGTGATGGGTTTCTCAGAGTGGGCCTTTATTAAAGTATAAAAAAAAATACCCATGAGCATTTTCAAAGGCCGATGTACATTGTGATTATGGGCTTTCTTTTCGGATCCATCACATTAGTTTTGGCCCACCCATTTGGTAACAACTCGTCCGATTTATTCTGACAATTTATCAAAAGACGCTAATCCGTACAACAGTGGATGTTCCCACGCAAAACAATATCAGCCGTCAAATATTGGCAAACATTTTTCCGCCGTCGGTTATTTAAGATGCCGAAGCAAATGCGCCCTCCAACAAAACCCGATCCCGAATTACTCTCAAAGAGAAAATGCAAACATCTTCGTCGACGAGACTCTCCCTCTTCGTGTTCGTTTCGTTGTTGATCTCATCGCTCGTCATGGCGGAATCCACCGGAGCTCAACCATCTCAGGCGAAGGTTCATATCATCTACACCGAGAAGCCCACTGATGAAGAGCCCGAGTCCTATCATCTCCGAACCCTGACTTCCGTTCTTGGCAGGTTTGTTCCAATCGTTGAAGATCACCCTCGTTCGCAGAGATCCTGTCGCTTTAATTTAGGGCATTTTGAGGGAAGGGGGAGATGATTTGGATACTAGGATTTCCGCTGCTGTTTCGGAGGATTGTTTGGATTACTTTGACTATTGTTCCGATAACGATTTTCGATTCTCTTTGGCCTGATTTAGTCGCTGAAACTCTCTGTGAATGATTGAAAATGCTGATCAACGAGGGTGCGGTTTTGTGGTGATTACAGCGAGGATGCTGCAAAGGAGGCCCTCGTTTACAGCTACAGGGAGGCTGCTTCCGGATTCTCTGCTAAGCTCACACCAGAGCAAGTGGCCGAGATGTCGAGTAAGTTTTCTGTAAATTTCTCTCTTGTGCGATATGATTTATAAGAGAAATGTAAAGTGTAACAATTCAAGGATGTGGTTTTGATCGCGGCTTGTGTGGGTTATTTCATCAGAATGAGCTTTCGGCTTTTAAGCTTTTTCACCAAATCTTTCTTGACAAAGGGTGGTGGAGAATATGTAGATTCCGTCTGGTATGATGTTAAACAAATTTGGGTAGAATCGCATACACCAAGGAAAATGTGATGAATCCTGTGAACCCTTGTTTTATGCTTTCGTTTTTCGAGCTGTTTCTCAATCTCATATGCATGAATTCTTCATGTTTCCTGGGGTTAAACTAGTTCCTGTAATGATGCTCTGACTTTTGGATGCTTTAATGGCATTTGGGTGTTGCAGAGCAACCAGGGGTTCTTCAGGTTGTCCCGAGCCAGACCTACCGTCTTCATACCGTGGGAGGGGTGGGCTTGAACTGATTATTACCGCATAAGACTAACTCAATATGTTGTGTAATGTTTTTGACTCATAAATGTCACTTGTAATATATGTTGTTGGTTTGGACATCCAGAGAAATTTATTTATTACTGATGAGGAAAAGTATCTATCTGGCTTTGTAACAATCTGTTTACTTTTATAATGTGTCTGTCCATGCGCTCCGAAATTCACCCAGCATTTCCACAGTTTAAACACAAACTCCTATTATACATATGAATCATTACTAGTATGTACTATTTTCCAGACAAAACAAACAGATTACCATTATGAAACTGTAGCCAATGGCAAAGAAGTCTTTATTTCGAGTCAGGGAAGCATCCAAGAATGTGAGTAGTATTAGCTCCGAGCTCGTTATAGTTTTGGTGTATGGGAGGCAAGCTCAATGGATACGACTGTGACTCAAAAGAAGACAGAAGAACATTGGAGTGAGAGTTTTCGGCTGTGATTTGCGTCGCAAGGAAACCATCAACAGTTTTCCAATCAATGCCGTTGAAGCTCTCCCCTTCTTCTTGCTCGAAGCCCTCTCGCTGATCCTTGCTAGTCGTCGTCCCAAGACTCTGTGACAAATTCGGGCTATGGAGCTGTGGGAGCTCCATGCCGCCATAGCAGAGATTGTTCATGAGCATTTGGTTGACGTTTTGGCTTGATGAGGAACCGTTGATGGTTTGGTGATGGTTGAGGTGGTAGAGATGGTTCGGCCATGACTCGTACCCATATGGCCTCTGGTTTGAAGTTGGCTTCCTGAATGCTCGACATACCACCCATCCTTCCTCCTGTGTATGCATTCCATTATTTAACATATTTGCATAAGCCCTAAGGCATGGGTTTTGGTCATTCGGAGGGATAGGTATAGGGACCTGAGGAGGAGCGTGTTGAGAGTTTTGGAGACGGTATTCATGCATGATCCAATCGGTTTTTCTGCCATTAGGAGCTCGACCTTTGTAGAAGACAAGTGTCTTTCTCATACCTATCACCGTGTCCTTGGACAGGACAGCCTTGTCCCTGCCGGTGGCTTTCCAGAATCCGATGGCTGTCGCTCTGTTGGTCCTCGTCCCCGTTGGATACTTCCTGTCCTTGTGGCTGAAGAAGTACCATTCGTTTTGCTCTTCGTACCCTGATTTGCACCTCTCTGAAACGACAAGAATTTCTATCTTACACAATTGAATAATTCGGAGATCTGATTTGGTTTAGTATGCAAGTGACCTTGTATATTTAACGTACAATTAGTCAATATCTTACACAAAATTAAAATTTTGCATGGAAAATCAATGGGTTTTTTTTCTTCTTCTTGATACAATATATATCAATGAGTTGAAATTCGTCCTATTTTGGTTTGGTGATGCAAAAAGCCATGTTCAGTTCTCAATGTCGGTTTCCATTATGCGTCCAATCCTTAACTTCACACACCTTAATAAGTCCACCGGCATAATGATGTATAACGTTACTTCTCTAGTACTGCTTATTCTTTTCACACTTGGTTGACTCTGGAAGCCAAAGAAAGTGGGTTTTCTATTCATTTTCATACCAAATTCCTCAAATATAACCGTCCACATATCCATGAGCAAGATTACGAGTAATGATTAGCACGTTAATTACCTTGAATGTCCCATGGCTCCATTTTGTAGAGATCAATGTCTACGATGACATCCAAGGCGCTCTTCATCGAATCGATCTTCCTCTTTAGGTAATAACCGACGAGCTCTTCCTCCGTCGGATGAAACCTGAATCCCGGTGGCATACATGATTCCATCATTTTATTCACCGTTCCTATACATATGGTTGAGATAATTTAGTAAGAATCGAGATCGGAGGAGAAAGCTAGAGTGGAGAGGGCCTTGTAAAAACTTATATATGTGTGCCTTTGGAAGTATTTCTATAGCGACAACCTTAGTAACAGACGAATCATAACCTTAAAGTTTTGTCTTGTGTTTTTGGGACCAAAAACAAAGCCTCTTGCAAGCTTCATTTATTTTAAATAGAATGCAAAAAATAATAAAATACATATATGAAGAGATCGACCGAATGACTCTTGGGTGGAATGGAATACCAAAAGCTGTGTTGGTAATGATCGTGACGTTGCACACGAACACAAATCGTAATATATTATATGCATCTATATGTATATAAATAAACTTCACATCTAGACATATATATGTACTAAATCTTGGATTCTTAAGTTTAAGGGTTCGACTGGTTGTATCGCAGCAGTTGCGGTTGCGAGTGGCAGCGTTTTCAGAACGTTTGATAGCGATTATAAATGATTAGTACTGACTGGTTGAGAAGTTACTGTTGGTAGCGATTGCGGGTGAGTGCAGTTAGAAATGAATGGTTCATTACGGTTGCAAGTTGCGTTTTGATATAAATTGTCAAAAAAAATATTATTTAAAAATAATTTTTTATAACAGTTTTAATTAAATTTTTCGTATCATTTGATAAAAATTATTTACTAAATTTATAATAATTAAATAATAAATTTAAAATAGAAATATTATCAATTTAATTTATTTTTAAGTAAAAAAATAATTTTATTATAAAAATTATTAAAAATAATCATTATTAAACTTAAAAATTATACTATTGTATTTTTTTTTATTAAAATATAATACTAAAAAATAATATCAAATCATAACACTAAACAAAATCATCACCAATATATACATTAATGTTTTATATAATTTCTAATAAAAATATTTTAGTTTTTTTGTCAAAACGCCTGAAACCGCTACCAAAACGCAAGTTGGAAGTTGCGATTAGAAAACACAAGTTTGGTTGCATTTGCGGTTGGTTGCGGTTCAACCAGTCAGTTTTTTAGTCGCCCACAATCGCCAAAAATCGCAACCGCTCCGTTTACGGGTGGCGGCGGTGCAACCAGTCGCCCTCTAAGGCTGTAGCTATTGTATATTGGTGATGTTATATGCTGGAAATAACTCCCAAGAAAAGTTTTCGACAATGGATTTAATCTGGAGATGCTGTGTCGTGCTCTGATTCTTCTAGCTAGTACATAACCCAAGTTTGTAAAAGTGAAGATTCAAGATCTGTATTTATATAGAGATATCAAAATATAACAGAAATTTTTATAAGGACAAAAATACAAATAGCTTTGAGACCAGGGCATGCTGCGTGAATGATAATGTTTGGTGGGTTTGGTTAAACGGCAATTGGTAAAGTCATGTGCGTATACAGATACAGGCATATATATTTGGATATATATATTTATACATATTAAAAGGTGGCCAAAAAGCTTGACTACTTCGCCGGTTTGATGTTCATTTGAACTCTCTTTCATGTTGTGTTCCTATCGTTTATATTTATGGTGCAACATTGTCTGAACTGTTATAACAGACTTAGGATCAACATATATACGTACAAAGCCACGTCTTCGTAAAAGTACGTGTTTATTACTGCACATACACGTAAATACGTACATGACTTGTACATGCAAACCTGTGTGACCGGAAACTAAAAAAGAAAAGAAAGAAAAAGAGTTTTTTGGTTTATGCAAGGACCAGGAAATTGATGAGAAATTTTGAAGGGTTGACTATAAAATAGAGAGGAGTGGACATTTTCTCCAACATATCCGTAAATATTAGTATGGTTAATGATAAACACTATATTATATATATGCATGCGTATACATAAAAGCTCTCAGGGGTACATGCATATACATGAAACGGAAATTAGGATATATATATATATATATATATATATATATATATATATAGATTATGCGATATAACCCAGTAATTCTCACAAGGGAATCAACGTACCGGCCGGCTTCTTGGAATCCGAAGGAAAACAGAGAAAAGGGAGAAGTGAATGAGAGATACTTGGCGTGGAGTGGCAATTACTATACGAAGACGAGGAGGAGCTTTTTAATCATAACGCAGGACCGTCTAGAAATCTTAGGCTATATGTATAAATGGCGAATTAATGTTTCCGAAATGTGTATATATAGGGAGATATCGTATCATATATGTCCATGCGTGTTGTGTGTGTGTGTATATATGTACAAGGTGGATATAAGAGGAGAAGAAGAAGAGGAAGGGTGGAAGGCGGGTTTGCTTGGGCGTGAGATAGAGAGATCTATTTCCTGTTTTGGACGGCGTAATCCCAATTTCCCCACTTTACCCGCAGCCCCCCCACTTTCTTAATATATATATATATTAATCCTTTATATCCCCTTGTTTATGTTCGACAACAAAAAATGAAGCACATGGACCATCGTACATCATGTTTATATCTATTCCCATTTTAGTTCTAATGGACCGTCGGGCATATACTTCAAGGTGTTCCCCAAAAGTTAATATTTATTTATCTTTAGGTTCTTCTCCAATAATCACACGGAATTATATTCGCGCACACTGTGAAAGAAATCATGAGGAGGAAGGAGGTGAGTGACTCAATAGTATAAAACGAAATGCTGGATATCATAAGCCCTACACACATGCACACCATCAGGTGTCCTTGATAGATTGCCACATATGCATCGATTTCCGTTTTGTCTTTTCCTGGCATACATTATCCCACTAATATCTACAAACGCATTCTCAGTCTTACGTAGAAATTGAAACTGGATTTGAAGAATTTAATTCATTATAGTTTAGAAAGTTGGAGATTCAAATTTAGAATGTAAAAAATTTATTAAAGCCTAATATATTTTTATTTATTTCTAATCGAAATATGGTGAAGATAACAGAGTGATACAAAAAACAACTCGATCAACTCTTCATCATTCAAAAGGAATGATACTTTTTTACGTACGCTTCTATAATGCAATTCTCAACAGTGATTCTTAAAATATTCGCGCAGTAAAATCCAACTATTTGTGGTAAGTAATGGGCGATGGAAGTCTAACTAATCATGGGGGCGGGTGAAGGTCGGCCACTCGTTCCCCACACATATATCACCCTCTTATTATTCCATTACACCGCTCATAAGTCAAAACACATCCCGTAAACACAAATACACTATTGCATGTAACGTTTAAAATTTATAGCTTGTTAATGTTTTTTTTTTAAATGTAATTTAATTATACTGTTGTTCCATCAGGTTATCAATTTGATGATTTATTGTTGGAATGCAATCTTATTTATCAGAATATAGAAACGTGTTTTCTCCCTTATCATCTAAAATCGTAGAAGAAGTGCAGACAAAGCAAATGGGAACTGAATTTGTTTGGGGCGGTTTGTGGGAACTTCTCACACACTCTAGGTTTCATTTTCAGATTGCGTCTCTTATATATGTATATATATATATATATGCAAGCAAAGCATAATAAAGCTATATAATATTTTATATTATCACTTTCTTTATTTTTTAGATTGTTTCCTTCCGAAAACTTCAACAGTTTTCATTTCTTTTTGTATCCTTTATGGAGTAAATCAATGACAATATAAATACGGATGAGACCTCCCAAACCTTTTCCGATACCCATGTATCATTTCTTTATGTACCGTAAGAACCTGTGGATTTAAAGAACGTATACAAGTTACACACACACACACATATATATGTACACATGTCTTCACAAGTCTGGTCGGGTGTGTGTCTCGCTCTCTCTATATATATATATATGTCATGTTTGACAGTTTGGGTATTTACAAATGAAATTCAATTAACAGATTATCAGTTGCACAGTTGGCAAATGATTTATGTTTTTTATATTGGAAAAAAAAAATTGAAGCAATAATTACATTGGATAAAAAAAATAATAGTTATAAGTGTTAAACATAGGTACAGACACTAACCTTATTAATTTATATTGGAATTAAGAAGTCGCACATCGTTACGTTTTGTAATCCTTATTAGCAAAATATTTCGCATTTGTGTAGAGGTAAAACATTGTTGTGTAATTAAACCCTGTTTTGTTTATGAAAATCTCAAACAAATATGTCAAGAAACGACAATCATTTTTATAATCTCGGAAGCTATCCAAGTCCACACTGCTCATTGTTGGAGCCTAATCTTTTTACATAATTACCCTGTAACATGCAACTGATGAATGATACAGAAGAATATCAGAGGTTCATATAAAATTACATTAAGGCCCAATCCATGAGTCATGAGAGCAACTGACCCCTCTCTCCTCAATTTCCACATGTTTCTTTTTTTACACTATTAAGTCTTCGGGTCATAAATGCATCTTCCATTTTCAATGCTAACATCTCTTCCAATCCTCCATAGCTTACCGGCTACTTACTAACAAGGCCCAAAGACATCAGCTCCGTTTCAGTTTCTGCTCAAACATAGTCTCATCACAGCACCATAAAACTGCCAACATCTCTCTGAGTACAATCTTTAAATTTTCTGAAAATCAATTTGGTCCAACCAAATGATTCCACTATGTTCGTTCTCTGTATATTAATTCCGTTAAAACACCAATCAATCGATTATTTGTACTCCTCTACAAAGAGCCCATAATTATTTCACCGTGGGCGATTTTTCGCCGGCGACCTCCGGAGGAGGAGAAGCTTCTTCAATACACTCATGAACACCAACACATTCGGCTTCTTCGTCAAGTTCACGGCGGTGTCGGAGGCCGAAGACTTCTTGTCGGATTGGACCCTCGGACTGCGACAAATAATAAGGTCGTCGTTGAGATCTTCCCACAGCATGTCCATCTTCTCCTCGCTCAAACGGCTCGAGAAGCTCATCCTGTGTGCGTCGTCCCGGAGGAAAGTCTCTGGCCAAAGTTGAGGAGAATCGATGCAAGCAGATATCACCGGGAAGCTGAAATTTTCTGGGGAGTGACTCTTCGAATCCATTTCCTTTGCCTTCTCGGTTTGAAGGGTTTGATCCAACCTTTTTTTTTTTTTTTGCGTGCGTTCCAACTGCATCAACAAGTTCTGTCTTTTGTTGTTTTATCTTTCGAAAATGGTTTGGTTTCCTGACAGTTGGCTGTTGAAAAGGAATATTCATGTTTTTTTTTGTTTTTTTTAATAAAAAACTCTGTGACATATTGTTGTTTTTTAAAAATAAAGAAAAGAAAATTGTTGCCTGATTTTTCATGATTTTATGCCTCAACTAGATTTTACGTCTAATATTCTACAAAACCCACTAATTATTGATTATGAAGAGGACAATTTGCAGGGAAATTCAAAATTGTGTTTGATTTCCTTTTAAGTATTTCTGTGATTGCCCTACTTCATGCATGCATGGTTGACTGGTTTTACATAAATAAAGATATCACTCTTCTCTTCTTTTAATATTATATAATATATGTGTCTGGAAACAGGAGGACGAATGAGGACTGTCGATACCAAAAGAAGAAAATGTTTTGCAAAATCAGTATATTCAATATGACCCATTTACAGATATATTTTCTATATTCCACATGACATTATAAGGGGGTGAGATATAAGATGAAAGACAGGGATGAAAGGGACAAAACACATCAGATTCAGTTTGACATCTCATCTCATCTACCGGCGGATTGATTGGGAAGATAAACATAACATCGCTCTACTCTCTTACTTCCACGTTGTGCCACTGACTTGCTGACATCACAATATTCATTGAAGGATTTTTCAATGAATCATTCGATGCATAAATGGCACAGATTGCTTGGATCGGGACCATCAAACATGCTTTTTTTCAAGATATTTCCAGCAAAACCCATGTTTGTTAGCGGTGGTTCACTTGTTACGCATTCATTAGAGTGCTCATTGAAACTAGATGCACACTGAAGAGGAATCCATAAATCACTGGCTTTTGATTCCTGAGTTAATTCAATCGATTTATGATGCTGCAAGATCGACTATGAAAGAGGAAACCAATGGCTTTTGAACAATGAAAACCAGCGAATCAAAAGCCCCCCATTCCCATCAACCCAAGAATCTTTACTTTGTCCTGATCATGGTAGTGTCAGTCGGAATGTTATTCAATGTTGACAAAAACCGATGCAGAGATGTAATCTCTTGATTCTGCTGCTTTTGGTCTAGTTGACAAGAACAGGGTTGTTCTGGATCCATGCAAAGATTATCCATCATATGTCAATCCAATCAAAACCAATATCTGAAGCTGTTGGCTTTTTATACCAAGCAACCGGTGAATGTGTCTAGAGTCATCATTTTCATCTGCCAAAGGCGACAACAACAACAACCATATGCATAGAGTGAACGATCGTCCTGGTGATTAGAAATAAATCTAGTCAGCCCACGGGCTGATTGAGTCGTATTCGGCAGTTTTTGATATATGGGTGAGTTCCTAGATTTATTAGGCGATACCTATTTGGGTGATGGGCGTTTGGGCTCAACAGCCCAAAACGTGAGGACAATGTAAAAATCTTGCCTTCTGACCATTCAACTTTGTACGAGCTGAGTTTCATATCCGTGTAAACTGTGTTGTATCTCCGTGCGTTGGGAAATTATGATGGCATGTTTGGAGTGGAGGACGTGACAGGTCCATAACCAACCCCAAATGAGTGGGCCACTATATAAGTTGTCTCTTTCTATCTCTGTTGTCGAACTTGTAATAAATACGTCCGAGTCCAACATGGGATGAGACGGCTTCTTCGACTTGAACACATATATTCTCCACTTCATATTCTACGCACATACATACCTATGATATGATTATGCAACGCATCCATTTGGTGATGTTTATGTAAAGCATGATCGACTTTTCTTTTTTTTGGTTCATGGATTGTATTAAAGTATCGATCAAAGGGTAGCCCTACACATTAAATGAGTAGTGAAAGATAAGACGGACAAGACGTAGCTGCCACACAAGTTTTTGCATTTAAGACAGAGCATGTCATGTTAATGGATGAATCAGCAAAGAAGGAATCATGAATCTCAGGTTGCTGCTATTCGTGTTATTTGTCGGAGTTATCGCCCACGATCAAGGAGGGAAAAAGAGCCTTGATTGTGGTTTGCTGCCGGATGGGGCCAACTACATAGAGGCCATAACGAAGCTGGTTTTTGAGTCAGACGCCGAATACATCAATTCCTGAAACAGTACGAAGACCGTAACCCACGGCAGTATCACAACCTCAGGAGTTTCCCCCAGGGAAGGAGGAACTGTTACTGCCTCGACGTGAAAAATGGGAGCAGATACATGATCAGAACTTCCTTCCTGTACGGAAACTACGACGGTCTGAACCAGACTCCGAGCTTTGATCTTCACGTGGGACCCAACAAATACGCATCGGTAAAGATTCAAGATCCACAAGAGTTGATGCGGAAGGAGCTTATCCACGTCCCGACATCTCAACTGCTCCAACTGTGTCTGGTTAAGACAGGACCCACCCACCCCTTCATCTCCGCCTTGGAACTCAGACCCCTTCATCACGACACTTACATCCCTGAGTCCGACACCGGTTCTCTTCTGTCCCTTTTCCGTTACTATCTCGCCAGTATTAACTCTCAAGGCCTATTAAGGTACAACCCACAAACGAACGAATATTATGCATGAAAATCACCTTCATATATATATATATATATGATTCTCGATTGATTCTATTGAGAATCTAAATATATATGACGGCTACTACTCAGGCACGACACCGACATCGTGGACCGTATCTGGGAACCGTTCTTCCGTGAAGACTGGACGGAGATAAGCACCGATGTCAACATCACCGGCGACACAGAGGGCTTCGACCTGCCTCAAGCCGTCATGAGAACGGCCGGCGCTCCCCGAAACGCAAGCGAACCGCTGGTCGTGGAGTGGAGCGTCGACAATTCATCCGGAGATTCTCCTGAGTTCATATGCATGCACTTCGCAGAGATCGAAGCCCTCAAACCGAACGAGACAAGGGAATTCGATATCACCTTCAACGGCGGGGATCTCTGGTTCGAAAGACCCTTCAGTCCGGCGAATTTCACGGCCAAAACCATACAGAGAACCGAAGGATCGAAGTGCGACGAAGGGTTTTGCCGGTTCGAGCTAGTGAAGACACAACGCTCGAGCCGACCGCCAATCCTCAATGCTATAGAGGCTTACACAATCATCGATCTTCCGCTATTAGAGACGGAGGAGTTTGAAGGTACGTGTGTCGTTGGTGAAGTTAAATGGAATTGGAAGAGTGTGATATGAATAAATATGTAAACGAAACAGGGAGAGCGATGAGGGAAATAGAGAAATTGTACGGAATGGAAAGAAGAAGCTGGGAAGGAGATCCATGCTTCCCTCCAGACTTGTCGTGGGAAGGACTCAAGTGTTACTACCCTCTCAACCAGCCTCGCACCATCACTTCCTTGTATATATATATGTCCACCACCATGTTTATGTGTGTATATATATGTTGATATGGTTTAATATAATCAAAAGAACCCTTCTTTTGCTTGTTTTGGATTCGCCAAACAGGAACTTATCGTCGAGTGGCTTGACGGGGAACATCACATCTTACATCAGTGATCTCTCGCACTTAACGGAACTGTGAGTTTGTGTGTATATGTATAGTAACTCCTCTGCTTATCCTAAACGAAAATAATCTTCAGGGATTTGTCAAATAACAATCTGACTGGAGAAGTGCCGCAATCTCTGTGGGAAATGAAATCCTTGACAATCTTGTAAGTTATGTTCCGTGAAGCAAAACACAAAAATCATTAGCCTCCCCTTGTTACTGATGTTCTCAAAAAAAAAAAAAAAAAAGAATTGCAAAGTTGGTACAACTTATCTGAAAGATCAAAACAGTTGATTATTCATCTTAACAATGTACAGAGACTTGAGTAACAATAAACTCAGTGGCACGGTTCCGAAAGCCATATTCCAAAGACGCGGGTTAAGGTTGAAGTAAGTAGCCTTGACCTTACTGCTCTTCAGGTCATCTTAAGAAGACTGTTGTTTTCCAACATTGATCTGAAAAAGATATTTGCAGATATGAAGGAAATCCGAGTCTATGTGCGCAAGATTCTGTTAGTTTTTTTAAAAACTCTCACTCACAATCTGTTTTTTCCAATGAATGCAGAATTAGAAACAAAGAGATTTTTCTGAAAATATATATGCATCTATTACGTTTTTCTTTTGTTCTTACAAACATATATAAAACAACACATAACTGATGTAAGTTACAACTTTAACTTCAAAATACAAACTGATCATTAACTGCTAAAATAAAAACTGCTTTTACAAACTTTCTTTTCCACGTCACCACCTCTTCAATTTTCACCTTCCCTTGCACATGCTTGAGTCATTTTCTAACACTCCTCCTTGACTCATGCCATCTCCAACATACCAATTTGCACATTCAATCTCTTTCGGCATAAGTTCTTCATTCTTTTCACTTGTAGGATTAAAACAGTAACTTTCATTTTCCATTCGAATCTTGAACAGAACTTCATTTGTATCATTTCCAATGATACACTCATTTTTGTCGAAAATCACTTTGTACCCTTTTTCGACTAACTTAACAACACTCAAAATGTTTTGATCAATCTGAGGTACAAATAACACATCAGACAACAACTCGTAATTTTCTGATCCTTTGATCAGAACATCACCTTTCCCTTCAACATAAATGATTTCACCATTTCCTATTCTCACTTTCGACTTGAACGAACTGTTTAACTTCTCAAATAAACTCTTATCTCTTGTCATATGGTTCGTGCATCCACTATCCACCAACCATCCATCTTTGACAGCATTTGAAATGAAACAAGATGCGACAAAAAGATTTTCTACCTCATTTGTCTCTGCCGGTTGTGCTTCGGCAATTTGCGGCATTTCGGTTCGACAAAACTTCTCAATATGACCCGGTTTGCTGCATCTCCTACACTTGAAATCTGGTCTTTTCCAACATTTCCAGTGAGGGTGGTTTGTTCTCTTGCAATGCTTACATGGCTCGAATACACTCTTATTTTCTCCAGCATCAAAATTCTGATTCGGCCCCTTACCCTTTTGAGTATCCCAATTCTTTACACTTGCCTTCAACGCACCTTCAATAGATTCATCGCTCCTCATAATCCTTCTTTGTTCTTGTGCTTGCAAAGCACTTTGAACTTCAGCAAGTTTCAAATCTGAAAGTTTCTTCGTATTTTCCAGAGATGCGATAGTTGCTTCAAAACGTTCTGGTATTGACACCAACACCTTCTGCACTATTCTTTTGTCTTCAATCTCTTCGGCAAGAATCCTTATTTTGTTCACAATGCTTACCAACCGATCTATGTAATCCTTGACAGATTCACTTGTCTTCATTTGTTGTCTTTCAAACTCCCTGAACAAGTTGAGAACTTTCATTCCCCTGATTTTCTCATCTCCCTCGTACTCCTTCTTCAGGAAATCTCACACTCCTTTTGCTGTTTCCAACGACATTATCTTCGTGAACACCGATTGAGAAACTGCAGAGAAAAGACATGATACCGCCTTTGCTTTTCTCGTTACCTTCTCTTTGTGGATCCTTATTTGATTCACTGTTGGATTTGCAGCGAGAGGAGGAACCTCGTCATCCTCTTCAACGGCTTCCCATAAGTCTGCTCCTTTCATAAAAAACTTCATTTTGACAGCCCATATCTGATAGTTTTCTCCATCGAACATTGGTGCGGCCAGATTTGACAATGTCGAAGAACTTGATCCATCGTTTTGCTCCATTTGCTCACCGATTTTGTTTTTTTTTTCACAGATTTTATTTTTTCCCCTCACAGATCCCAACAAGATAAAAATGCTCTGATACCACTGTTATTTTTTTTTAAAACTCTCACTCACAATCTGTTTTTTCCAATAAATGCAGAATTAGAAACAAAGAGATTTTTCTGAAAATATATATGCATCCATTACGTTTTTCTTTTGTTCTTACAAACATATATAAAACAACACATAACTGATGTAAGTTACAACTTTAACTTCAAAATACAAACTGATCATTAACTGCTAAAATAAAAACTGCTTTTACAAACTTTCTTTTCCACGTCACCACCTCTTCAATTTTCACCTTCCCTTGCACATGCTTGAGTCATTTTCTAACAGATTCATGTAGACGTGGCAAGACAAAGATCATTGTGCCTGTTGTTGCATCACTTGGTTCCTTGGCTTTTATTTTCTCTGTTTTGGCCTGTTTATTTCTCATCAGAAGAAAAGGTAAACGTACCACTACATTTACATCTTGACAGTTACAAATTACCAGAAGAAGAGGTATATATATATATAGATTGCTAATATCACTTGTGTACTATAACCATCAGCAGCCAGCAACGCAGACACCAAGTCTGGCACCGACACATCTTTGATGCCATCTGATCACTCATCCTTATTGACAAAGGAAAGACGGTTCACGTACTCACAAGTGTTGAAGATGACAAACAACTTTGAGAGAGTTCTTGGAAAGGGAGGGTTTGGTGATGTGTACCATGGTTGCCTCAACAACACGGAACAAGTTGCCGTCAAGTTGCTTTCAGAGTCATCCGTCCAAGGTTTTAAGCAGTTCAAGGCAGAGGTACTAAATTTATATTACATTCTGAGGTTTGAAAATTGATAATATCGCTCATTTTCAAACTTCACTATGAAATATATATATATTTTTTCATTACTAGTGTCGGTCTTGTTTGCAAAAAGGCAACAACTTCTTCGTTAGCTGTTAAATTGAAATTGGTGATATGGCGATAGGTTGAGCTTCTTCTGCGAGTTCATCATAAGAATTTGGTAAACCTGGTGGGGTACTGCGACGAAGGAAACAAGTTGGCACTCATCTATGAATACATGGAAAACGGAAACTTGAAGGAGCATCTGTCAGGTAAACGTGGTGACAACATCCTGACATGGGCAAGCAGACTGAAGATAGCTGCTGAGGCTGCGCAAGGTCTGCACGTCTATTCCACCCCAAAAAATGTATCTGCAGTGTAGTCCGTTTCTGACTTGTATATGTATGTACAGGATTAGAGTACTTGCACAATGGCTGCAAACCACAGATTGTGCATAGGGATGTGAAGCCGGCAAACATATTGTTGGATGAACACTTCCGGGGGAAACTAGCAGATTTCGGTCTTTCAAGGTCATTCCCCGTCGATGGAGATTCCCATGTGTCCACTTCAGTTGCCGGGACTCCTGGATATTTTGATCCCGAGTGAGTAATTTGCTAAGTTCTCTCGAGAGTATTTCTTTCTCTATATATGGTATGAGATTGTCTTTTGGTATATCAGGTATTATAAAACGAACTGGCTAACAGAGAAAAGCCACGTATACAGCTTCGGAGTAGTATTACTAGAGATAATCACGAATAGACCTGTATTCGACCAAAGCAGAGAGAAGCATTACATAGTGGAGTGGGTTGGTGAGACACTGGAGAAAGGGGACATCCATAGCATAGTAGATCCCAAACTCCAAGGTCAGTTTGAGAACAACTCCGCGTGGAAGACAGTGGAGGTGGCGATGTCATGCGTCAACCACTCTGCCAATAGACGGCCGACAATGTCTCGTGTTGTCGCGGATTTGAATTCATGTGTCGCCATGGAGATGGCGAGGACCGGAGACAGCCTTGAGAGTTCTACTCTTGAGTTGAGCCTCGGTTTCGGCACTCAACTTGCTGCCCAACCCCATGTCAGGTAACATACGTTCGTTTCGAATCTTCAAAATGTAACGCACACGTTATTATTTGCGTTATACTTTTGAGGTATTTTCTGTACTTGTGGAATTGTCTCCTATATACGTATTGCTGTACAGTTTGCATAGTGCGCGCTTTACATTTTTTTTTTTAAAACTTGGGGAATATATCAGTCAATACTAGTTTGCATTCTACGCATAGAAAAGAGATGAATCGGGTGCCCATCTCTTTATAAGCCACACTGTATACCAGTCGATTCAATCTGTATGGAAAAGAAAACCACCCATGCATTGCCATATGACATATTGGAGAAAATAATGTGCTTATTATTAGTGAGTACTGAAATCGCAATAAACAATTTCCGCTGAAGTAGCCTGAGGCCAATGCTCAAAAACAAAAGCGGTAAGCAGTGTCAACAGGACAACTTCTATGGAGCAGTGGTATGGTACTGCAACTGTTTCAGTTTATCCAGAGAGACACCACACCAGTGGTATGGTAGATCTAAAATCTGTTCTCTTTTTCTTGTGTTTACAAACAGATCAATGGTTACACTAATTGTACAATCACTTTACCATTCACCTGGAAAGCTCCTCAGAGCTGTGAATCAATTGAGAGTCTCAGTGGCTGGTTAGCGCCTGCAATAGCAGAAGACATAAGCCTAAGAGAAGAGAACATAACTTCATGTAACACTTCAAATTGTAAATAAAATGGCATACTGAGACTTTGGGTCAAAGACTTGTTTCAGCTGCATGACCTCTTGTCGCTGCTCCGGTGTAAGCAAACTCACCTGCCCTGGCGTCAAGTTCATCACTTGCTGAAGCAATGCCGACTGATCATCTCCAAAGAGATAAGCCTGCCAAACAAAAATATAAATTCAACTCCATATTGCTCAGATGATTTCTAATAAATTTTCAAATTTGTGGATTACTCAATGACTAGTTTTGTATATATTTTTTTTTTCTGTCTCTTCCATAATTTTTTAAGTTTTCCAGTTATCGAGTGGAACCACAGAGTCATAACTGATTTTTCGAAAAAATCTAGAGCCATCTACTGCATTTGGGAGCCTTTTCACATGATTTTACCACTTCCAGTTGGGGCAGAGACACAGGCAACCAGAAAGCGTGGTGAATGATAATATCATTCATTACCTGAGGCTGAGGCACCTGTTTCTCCCCATGTAGCATTTGCTCTATTCTTGAAACTCGATTGGCAAGCACATTACTAGAGGCATCTTCCATTTTGATCATTTTTGAAGCTCTGCCTATCAATTCTGCAGAACCGTCATTGTTTGTTTGGCTTCCAAAACCAGACGATACCGCTTGCTCCCCTTGCTGTAGGATGAAAAAATAGCGGAAGGTGAGAAAGTAATTTTTGAAGAAGAAAATAGGATTCTATTCTCTCACCAAAAGCAAAGAAGGAATAAGAGAGAATGCGGGTTAAAAGGGTATAGTCCATGACCAGATAGATTTCAAATCCCATCTTCAAATGCGAAACAGAGAGCATGAAACATTGCCCTGACCACACATCAGCTACTCAATGCAGCTACCAGTAAGCACTCAGTTATGAATGATTAGTGGAAGACGTAGCTAACCCAGATCAGTTCTTTGGTGTGAAATAAAATGAAATAGGCATTTGGAAAATGAAGGAATTAACCGCTTCAATTACTCTTGAACTGAATTTACATCACAATTGCCTCATTCTTTATAAGAACACAGAAAAATTGAACACTCACCAGCGACAACGGATTTGACAAGGGCAGACGAGGTAATAGAGATGATTGGGTAGCATTATTCGGGAGAACTATCAGATTACTATAAGCTAAGCTAGTGGAAGCGGAAGCCGCTTGGCGTTGGAAGGGAGCGGGTTCATTTAAAGAAGAACTGGCCACTTGAATTTGGGATCTCACAGGAGGGTTCGCCAAAGAAAGAACCTGATCTCCAAAAAGGCCCAGCTGTGCTGGTTGCAGCAGAGTGCCATGTTGGGGAATCTGAAGGAAGGGTTGTTTAGAAGATTGTTGTGGTAGAAAAAACTGACTATCGGGAGGGTGATTCAAAGGCTGTAACCTTTGTGCAAGTGGATTTAAACCCAGGAGGTTTTGAACGGCCACTTGATCAGATGTTTGTGTCTCTTGAACCAAAGACCCTGCCAAACGCTCCGGAGCCTGGACAATATTCGGCATCTGTAACTGCAAAGTTCAAAACCAGAAATTGCTCTCTCAAAACATAATAATTAGTCAAGAAGGAAGAAGAAAGATGTGTTCAGTTACATGAAACGAACCACTTGGGGACTCACAGTACCAAGCATTATCTGTGCCTGCAACAGGAACTGACTAAAAGTTCAGAAGGCTTTTTTCTAGAGGTAGTGCAAGAATCATATCATACTAAGAGAAATTTTGTCAAAAGGAGACCGTAAAACATACAGGAAGAGCCATAGATACCGGAGTTAGTGACATTTATGAAAATGGGAAAAGCCAAAACTAACAGCTGCAGAAATTCAGATACGAAGTGAAAGTATTCCAAGCGTATAACTATAGCAGCCTGCTGAGAACACCCATTTGTAAAGAAAAGCAAATGGAACAACCAATTCCTTCCTAGCTCTGATAAAACAGTAAAATCATGAACGCCAAAAGATTTTGCAATATAAGTGAAACGGGGAGAACCTGGAAAACAGCTTTTAACAACTGAGGCCTTGCAAGCAACAGCCGTCGAGCTTGTTCCTTATTCTCTGTAAGCCATTAACTGACGATAGAATGCACAGTGATGTTAGACAATTGAATTAGCACAATCGGTTGATGCTTTGAAGAACCCAAGGTAAAACATGCTGGGAGTCACACCTTAAGGGAAGATATAATTTCAGCGAGCTGACTCCTAGACATCTTGGCGAGATGAAGAGTGAGGGGATCACTAGCTGGAACCTGCAGAGTATTTTGACTAGACTGCAAGCCAACTTGAGGACCACCTAGAGCACCTGCCATTACAGACGCAGCTGATACAGCAAGGTGGAGGTCAATTGGCTGGTGGATATTAGAATCCCCGGGTACTGCAGGCCCTCCAATTTGCTTTTGAGGCTCTGTCATGCCAGAACCAAAAAAGGAAGGCATGCAAAGAGCAGCAGTAATTATTGTTTGTCCAAAGGTAATTGAGATCATTAATAATTTAGTGTGTGAAAAACTACAACCAGCAGTAGTGGGTAATCCAGACCCTCCATGACCCTGAAATCCAAAGGTACCAACTACCAATGTTGAAATCCCTAAAAGAGATTGAGAAGTAATAGGAGAAACTGATGGAGTTTGGTGAATCATCAACAAAAATTTTCCAAATAGGAAAGCGGATTAGTCATAAGAAGGGAATCAAAGACCACAGCCGAGGTGAAACTAAAAAGGCATACCCAAAAGACATAAGAAGTGACAGCCTACCTGTTCACGATTTCTGTCAGCTCCTTTGTCATTCTCCGCAAAATCAACTCTGAGTTGACGACCATTGATCCCATAACCCTGAAGATTACGACGAGCACTCAATGCAGTCTCTTCGTCCTTGTACTCGCAGAACCCGTACCCTTTAGGTTTCCCGGTTTCTCTATCGATAACTAATCTGAATCAACAGCAAACAGCACATTTCAACCACTTGTTACTACGCTGTTGTTCCCAGATTTCCCAAAAGATCTCGTCTAATCTTAATGGGAATTGATTCCTTCACAAACCTCAAAACAGTTGGGGAAAAAGTGTTTACGCAATAAACCGTAGTCGAAAGCTGACCTGAACGAAACAACAGGTCCAACCTCCCTGCAAATTTCTCTGAGTTGTTCCTCTGTAGCATCGTAGGGTATGTTCCCAACTGCAGAAGACGATTAAAATCGAAAAATAAAAAAGACAATGGAAAAAATGCAGGATACTCGAAGAAGTTGACATAGATCATGGGGACACAGAGAGGAAAAGAAGTACCAAAGACGCGGCGACGTTGGGAAGAAGAGACCATGAATCAACAAAAAGCTGAAGGAGGTGAAATGCCGTTCCATCACAATTGTTCCTCGGGCTTGATTGGATTGAATACAAATCCCCACTCCCGACTGCTTGAGATTCTCGCAGAGAGATCTTCCTGTCAGTTAGATTTGCCCTATTTCTATATTACCTCTGACTCGCGATCGCGCTTCAATCTTCCATATGTGTGTAGATTTTCCTTCTCTCCTATTTCCATATCTGTGTGTATATATTGATTCCCAGTTTTGCAATTCCCCTGATCTTAACCGTATATTTATATTCCTATTTTTATTTTATTTCGTCCCATAATGTTTCTGATTTGAACGGAAATATAATAAAAGACAGTAGTAATAATGACGTAATTTTACCCCTTGTTGGGCCTATGTTTTTTTAGAAATGATGGAAAGTTAAGATGAGGGCAAGTCATACCAGCCCGTCATATATGGGCTTACCCGTATCCTTTAGGTTTATCTGTATATTTTCTTATTGCAATCATCCAAATCCAAGCCATTTTCTTCACGTCGTCTCCTAACACAGTGCGGTGGACCATCCGCATTAAATGCGGATTTTAGGGAAAGCTCGAAAAATTTATTAGATGTCGTCTGTTGGGATGTGGGCAGGCGATATGATGTGACGATATCATTCTATATTATGAGATGGGTGAGGTGCACATACTCATGAATTAAATGGACCGACCTAACACACATTGCCACCCGATCCCTCATTATTTGATTTTTTTTTTTTTTTTTTTTGCATTCAGATGTAAATGTCCCGACGTCTTTGATCTCTCATGATTTGATTTTATATATGGATCGTGTTTGAATTATACAATTGCATGCTATCTTTGATCTCTCATGATTTGATTTTATATATGGATCGTGTTTGAATTATACAATTGCATGCTAACTTCTTACACAATAATTATTTATTGATAATCAATTAGACTAATGCTTTTAACAATAGTAAAATCACGAATGTTACGGACCACGTAATCCTAATCGTTGACTATAGCATGCATTCGTCTTTCACTAGTTTTAACGTAGGATGCGTTACGTTATTCTAGAGAGTTATAAGTAAATTACTACGGAGAGGCAAAAACTCAAACCTTGAGCGGACTCCAATATATATGACTATTATAATCACTTGACTTACTACATATCTATCTACCAACAACTCTTGTCTCTTCTATCAATCATGCGTATATAATCGTAACATTAGTCGTGGAGAAGCCATGAATACCCTCCTTGTTCTCCATAGTTACAATTTTTCTGTAGTACAAAAGAATAAAATAAAAAAGAAAGGAAGGATGGTGGTGTGGGAAGGGTACGCGAGGGACGAGACGATGGGGATAATAGCGCCGATAGCCGTATATTGGGTGTACGCAGGAGTATACCAACTAATGGGTGGGATGATGGAGAAGTACAGTCTCCACTCCCTCCACGAACACCTCCATAAGAACGTCCCTTCCCTACCCTCCGTCGTCCGCGGTGTCCTCCTCCAACAGCTTGTCCAAGCCTCCATCTCCTACTTCGGCTTTCTTGTATATTAGTTTGTTTGTTTTTTATCCGACTCAATCTCAGTTGCGTAGGATTTCTAACACGCAATCGATCGTACGTACATGTGCAGCTGACATCATCCACCGCCCAAGAAACGGGGCAACCGCCGATCACGATTCAGATGATGCAAATGTTGGTAGCAATGTTTGTGTTCGACACGTGTCAGTACTTCGTGCACAGGTACATGCACCACAACAAGTTCCTATACCAAAACGTGCACTCTCAGCACCACCGGCTCGTCGTCCCCTACGCCGTGGGAGCTCTCTATAACCACCCCGTGGAGGCCTTCTTCGACACTCTCGGCGGAGCCGCTGCTTTCTTTGCCTCCGGTATGACTCCTCGCACTGCCGTCTGGTTCTTCTGCTTGATCACCCTCAAGACCGTCGACGACCATTGCGGCCTCTGGCTCCCTGGGAATGTCTTCCACTTGCTCTTCAATAATAACGGAGCTTATCACGACGTTCACCACCAGCTTAGCGGCGTTAAGTTCAACTACTCGCAGCCTTTTTTCTCCTTCTGGGACAGAGTTTTAGGCACTTACATGCCCTACTACCTCCTCAAGCGTCCCGAAGGTGGGTTCGAGGTCAGGATGATGAAGCAACAACACTCTTGATCTCTTCCCCGTATTTTAGAGAGGTATATTTGTAATTCACGAGAGATG